CTATAAAAAGGAATTACTCCAAATGATGTCAGTGAAAACGGTGAAGTAGGGAGAGCCAAGAGCCATGCTCTCACAGAAACAATGAGAAAAGCCAGCAGAAACTGTCAGAATCAACATTACTGGAACTCTGGAAAACAGCCAAACAGCTACGTGAATGCTTAATCAAGAAAAAAAGTGACTGCAAGTGGGCAGGTGAGCTTTGTGGCATTTTAACTTACCCTTGCCCCACCCCCTCACCCCCCTCTGGCTCAGCAGCAGTCAGGAAGATGACAGCCCGCACTCCTGGTGGGAGTTTCTGGTGCCGGAGGGAGCAGAGCAGTCCTTGTTCTCAAAGAATGTGGTTGCCTGTTTTGACCAACACGGCTGGCTTCCTCAGGGACGAATGCGAAGGGTTTGCCTTTATTCCACCTAACTTGGAGTCTCATGATGGCAGGAAAGTGGCTATGATACTTCTGCTGAAAACACCTGAAGGCAAATGAACCAGATGGTGCCAGCTGGAACAAAGGTTATCAGTTGGGGCAAACAGTACAAATGTGGAAAAGCCTGGCAGAAAAAGCTGGGCAGTGAGATACTTTGGGGAATAAGAGTTTTGGAAAGCTTCCACATATCCCGGGGAATCTAGAAAGCCATGCACATGCCATGGGCAGGACGCATGCTCAGAAAAGACCTGAAAGCCCTAAACTCTCACCTCTGGCTGACTGTCAAGCCCTGTGCAAACAGGAAGCAAAGGAAAAGGCAGAGTTGTAAACTTCAGGCTGAGTGATGAAAGTGTGTTCCAACACAGACACAGCCTCGAGCTGCAGAGACCGGGAAATTTTTTTTTTTTATCCAAGCATTTAAGAAAATTTCTATTAAATCAGTAGCTGACCACTAAGCTAACAGATCAGAGACTTCAGTGACCACACACAACAGCAAACACAGTTTATTTTTTTAATTTTATTTATTTATTTATTTGACAGAGAGAGACACAGTGAGAGAGGGAACACAAACAGTGGGAGTGGAGGAGGGAGAAGCAGGCTTCCCGCTGAGCAGGGAGCCCGATGCGGGGCTCGATCCCAGGACCCTGGGACCATGACCTGAGCCAAAGGCAGACGCTTAACGACTGAGCCACCCAGGCGCCTCAGCAAACACAGTTTAAAAAACTAGTTTAGAAAAGTCATTAAATGAGCAACTATGACCCCCCAATAAGCTATAACAATAAAACCTAAGGGGAGAATCCAATTTCCAGAGGTATCACATTATGATATTCAAAATACCCAGTTTTCATAAAAAATTATGAGGCCATGCAAAGAAACAGGAAAGTATGGCCCACTCACAGGATAAAAAGAAATGAACAGAAACCATCCCAGGAAAAGCCCAGACACTGGACCTATGAGACAAACACTTTATACATCAACTGTCTTAAATATGCTCAGAGAGCTAAAGCAAACCACGGACAAACAACCAAAGGAAATCAGAATGCTGACTCACCAAACAGAGATGATCAAGAATGAGACAAGAACTGGAAAGCCTAAATAGAAATGCTGGAGCTGAAGGGTGCCTGGGTGGCTCAGTAGGTTAAGCGTCTGCCTTCGGCTCAGGTCATGATCCCAGGGTCCTGGGATCGAGCCACCATCAGGCTCCCTGCTCAACGGGGAGTCTGCTTCTACCTCTCCCTCTGCCCCTCCCCCCATGTTTGTGTGCACTCTCTCTCAGATGAATAAAATCTTAAAAAAAAAAAAAGAAAAAAATGCTGGAGCTGAAAAGTGTAACAGCTAAAATGAAAATCTTCATTAGAAGATTTGAACAGGCAGAAGAACCTGTGACCTTGTAGACAAGCCAACTGAAATGATCAGTCTGAGGAACAGAAAGAAGAAAGAATAAAGAAACACGAGCAGTCTGCGAAACCTGTGACACACCATTAAGCACACCAACATAGGCCTAACAGGACTCTCAGAGGGAGGAGAGAAAGGAGAAGAAAGAATACGTGAAGACAAAAAACTCCCTAAATTTGATGGAAGGCATGACAGAAAAAACTGTCAATGGAGCATTCTATATAGCAAAATTACCTTTCAAAAATAGAGGAATCAAGACACTTTTAGATAAACAAAAGACAAGAGAGTCTGTTGTTAGTTGATCTGTTCTACAAGAAATACTAAAGGGAGTCCTTCAGGCTGAAATGAAAGGACATCAGATAATGATGTGAAGCCATACAAAAAAATCAAAAAACACCAATAAAGGTAACCACATATGTAAATATAAAAACCAATACTGTATTTCCAGTTTCTAATTCTCCTTTTTTCCCTCCTATATGATTTTGAAGACAAATGCATAAAGCGATAATTAGAAATTCATGTCAGTGAGGGCACACACAGTATAAAGATATGATTTCTGACAATAACACAAAGGGGGAGGGATGGTGCTCTAGAGAAACAGAGTTTAATATACAATATAAGCTAAGGCAGGGCGCCTGGGTGGCTCAGTTGGTTGAATGATTGCCTTTGACTCAGGTTATGATCCTGGAGTCCCAGGATCAAGTCCCTCATCGGGCTCCCTCCTCAGCAGGGAGTCTGCTTCTCCCTCTGACCCTCCCCCGTCTCATGCTCTCTCTCAAATAAACAAATAAAATCTTAAAAAAAAAAAAAAAGCAGCAGCTAAGGCAGTATTGATTCAAACTAGACTGCCACAAATTTAAGATATAATTCCCAGGGTAACCACTAAGAAAAAAAAGCAATAAATGATATGGCCACCCTAACAAAGGAGACTTCAGTCTCACCTTTGCTATGCTCCCTTTGAGTCTTGTGGCTGGGTTTACCCTAGGGATTAAGGCTTTAGGGCACTTCTTTAGTCTGGATCATGAGTTAAAAGGAAGATAGTCTCTGCTGCAGAAACTCAAGAAGGACTTAATAACCTCACGAGCCTTTGCTCCCTCTCCCCAGGGTGCACCACGTTACAAAGAGGAAAACGTGTTGAACTATCAGCCATTCAGAGAGAGACACAACGAGAGAGGGAACACATTTACCATATCTAATTCTGAAAAAATTCAAAGCACCAGAACAATGTAGGTAAACTTAGTGATTAAGTAAAGTCAAAGTGTAAAATACTTATTTCCTCTTAGCCATAAGCATGGTGGCTGCTTCTTTATAACCACGTGTAATCATTATAAAGCTTGTACCTAGTAACATTTTGGAAAACTATTCCAAAAGATGGGAAGAGTAGCTGGTTTGCAAGTAAGTTGTAGCACTAATTCAGGGCAAGAAGAAACACAACAGCTGAAAGCAATGACAGTCTGTGATGCATATAACTATATTTGAGAAGCAGAGTGCATGTGAACACTCAGGAGGATGACTGAACAGAAACCATAACATGAGCCCTGCACATTTCTGGATCAGGGACAATAACATTACTAGGGTTAAGAGTACAAAGGAAACTGTAGAAGTCTTTTAACTCCTCCCCCTGCTTCCTACCTTATTCTTACATATTCTCCATACTCCAGCCACACTGATTCCTCCAGTACATATGCTGGCTCACACCACCTCTCTACTCACAACCAGGGCTTCCTATCTGCTCCAAACTCAATCTCAGCACAGTCTAGTAGACCTACTGTGACTGTTTGCCCAGCCACCAGCTCTCTTCCTGTGTCTGAAACATGCCCAGATACTATGCCTTAAGGGCTTTGCATTTCACATTTGCTGTGTGTAAAAGGAGAAAAATCTCAGATCCGGGTATACCTTCGAGATACTGTGGGTTCAGTTCCTGATCACCTCAATAAAGTGAGTATCATAACAAAGTAAGTCAAATGTTTGGTTTCCCACTATATATAAAAGTTATGTTTACACTATACTGTAGTCCATTAAGTGTGCAATAGCATTATGTCTAAAAAACAATGTACATACTACAGTTAAAAAACACTTTTTATTGCTAAAAAATGCTAACCATCATCTGAGTTTCCAGTAAGTTGTAATTTTTTTTTTTTTTTTTTTTAAGTGAACGCTACATCCAACTAGGGCCTGAACTCAAAACCCTGAGATCAAGAGTCATATGTTCTACTGACTGAGCCAGCCAGGTGTCCCCATCTTTTTGCTGGTGGAGGGTCTTGTCTGGATGATGATGGCTGCCGACTGATGAGGATGGTGGTTGCTAAAGGTTGGGGTGGCTGTGGCAATTTCTTAAAATAAGACAGCAGTGAAGTTTGCAACATCGATTGACTCTTCCTTTCACAAATGGTTTCTCTGTAGTTATGTGATGCTGTTTGGATGGCATTTTACCCATAGCTGAACTTCTTTCAAACTTGGGAGTCAATCCTCTCAAATCCTGCTGGTGCTTTAACAACTAATTTATGTGATACTTGAAATCTTTGTTGTCATTTTAACAACCTTCACAGCAATTTTACCATGAGTAGATTCCTTACCAAGAAACCACTGTCTTTGCTCACCCATAAAAAGCAATTCCTCAGCTATTAAAGTTTTATCATGAGATTGCAGCATCTCAAATATAATAGTAATAAAGTCTGAAATACTGTGAGAATTACCCAAAATGTGACAGAGACATGAGTGAGCAAATGCTGCTGGAAAAATGGCACCAACAGACTTGCTTGACACAGGATTGTCAAACCTTCAATTTGTAAAAAACAGCATTTGTGAAGTGCAATAAAGCAATAAAACGAGGCATGCCTGTATTCGGATGGTTTTCCTCCTCACTGCCTTCAGGGCTCTGCTAACGTAACCTATCGGAAAGGCTTTTGGTGACCACATTACCTAAAACAAGACCTCCCCTCAACATTACCCTCTGTCCTCTTTCTCTGCCTTATTCTCATTCATAGCTCTAATTACTACCTGATGTCCTACAGACTTTATTTACTGACTCCCCAACCTCTGGCCCATTGTTAAGTCTCTAAGACAGCAGAGACTGTGGTCTGTTGATTGCTGTATACCTAGCACCCAGAACAGTGCCTAACACAGGAATATTCAATCAATTGTTGTAGAATGGATGTGATTAAATGAAAAGGCATAAATACATACCCAGAATACATGTCATGGGGCAGGTTTCTTCCAGATTACTCAGAAACACTTCTTTTTTGTAGAACATTTTTGTGGGCTCATGTTCCGTCTCTTCTGGGTGAATGAAGATGGGGCCATAAAAATATGCGGCTCCATCTCGGACCCATACCTTTTCAATTCTTGGGGGAAAAATGGAGAAATTCCATTAAAATAGAATTCTGATCGGTTTCATTCTTGAAGGATTAATCTATCAGAAATTCTGATAGATAGATTTATGATATTTACTACTTAGAGGAGTTTTGTTGACTATTTTGACAATAAGACCATTTCCCTGACTTTTCCCCCCTTTGAGCACAGGAGAAGACATTTGGAAAGGGAGACAGACACTGGCTATTCATCTGAGGGAAAAAACACACAATACCTAGGCATATGACTTAATAGTTTCAGCTAACCTCCAGGTTTTTTTTTTTTTCCTGAAATGCTCATGATGAAAACAAAAAACAAAACTAAGCATCTGTCATCGGACTCATCAGCCGAATAAACAAACCATCCATATTTGGGGTCAGCTCACATGAGTCACAGATATTCCTTTAAGGTAATGGTTCATGACTTTTTTTTGAGTGTCAAGATATAATAAATAGCCCTTCACCCATTGAGAATGTGATGAGAGCCAGATACTATCTCCCTAGACAAAAATAAAAATGCATATCTGACTGCTCTGTGTTAGGTATTACACAATTCCTCATAACCACCCCCAGCAAGTTGGGATTATTAATGTCCCCATTGTCTTGTGGTTCCTGACATGAAGCAACATCCTCATCTCAGTTCATGGTAACTCCACCCTTTCAGTTCCTTAGGCCAACACACAGAAGTCACCCTTGACTCCTCTCTCTCTCTCTCGGACCCCACATCCCATTTATCAGGAATCCTATTAATTCAACCTTTCACAACAGGATCTGACTGCTGGCCTGAGCCAGCAATCACTGTTGCCTGGATTATTGCAACAGCCTCCTAGCAGATCTCCTTGCTTCTCTTTGACGCTTTTTTTTTTTTTTTAAAGATTTTTTTTTTTTTTTTGACAGAGAGAGACACAGCAAGAGAGGGAACACAAGCAGGGGGAGTGAGAGAGGGAGAAGCAGGCCTCCCGCTGAGCAGGGAGCCTGATGCGGGGCTCGATCCCAGGACCCTGGGATCATGACCTGAGCTGAAGGCAAATGCTTAACTGACTGAGCCACCCAAACGCCCCGACCCTTTAGTCTATTCTCAGCAATCAGAAGGCAGAGCAATCGGGCTAAGAACTAATTCAGATGTCACATCTATGCCTGAAAGAATCCAATGGGGGCGCCTGGGTGGCTCAGTCGGTTAAGCGTCTGCCTTTGGCTCAGGTCCTGATCCCAGGGTCCTGGGATCGAGTCCCCCATTGGGCTCCCTGCTCAGCAGGGAGTCTGTTTCTCCCTCTGCCTGCCTCTCCCCCTGCTTGTGCTCTCTCTCTCAAATACAAAAATAAAATCTTTAAAATAAATAAATAATCCAGTGGTACTCCCTTTAATTCAGTAAAAGCCCACACGCTGACAACGGACCCTGAGGTCCACCAGAGTGGCACTGTGTGCTGTGGCCCTCATGACCTGTCTAACTCAATGCACTGCTCCCTCCCCCGGCAACAAACCATCCAAATCTGGACAGGCCAGGCACACTTCTCTCTCAGGTCTTCATACTGGCTGTTCTCGCTTCCTGGAAAGCTTTCTCTCTGAATATTCACATTCCTCACTCCCTCAGTTTCTTCAAGTGTTAGCTCAACTATCAGCTCTCAGTGAGGCCCATATACATCACCCTATTTAAACTTCTGCACCTCCTCACTTTGTGCACTCCTGATTCCCCATATTTTTTTTCACAGCACATATCATGATCTAATGTTCTGTACCCTTTACTTATTCACAATGTTTACTGTTTGTCTTCCCACTGCAACAAAGATCCATGGGACTAAGGATATTTGTCTGTTTTATTCACTAATGTATCCTCACTGCCTGGCAAATACTAAGTTTGTAATAAATGATTACTGAATGAAGAAAAAATGGAATGAGGAAACTGGAGCTCAGAAAAATCAATCATTTGCCTAAGGACATGCCGCTAGCAGGGCTGGACTCACACCAAGACCCACAACTTTTTTTTTTTTTTTAAAGATTTTATTTATTTATTTGAGAGAGAGGGAGAATGAGAGAGAGCACGCGAGGGAAGAGGGTCAGAGGGAGAAGCAGACTCCCTGCCGAGCAGGGAGCCCGATGCGGGACTCGATCCCGGGACTCCAGGATCATGACCTGAGCCGAAGGCAGTTGCTTAACCAACTGAGCCACCCAGGTGCCCCAAGACCCACAACTCTTAATCACCATCCACTACTGCCCAGTCCCACACCTGACTCCTTCATTGCCGTTTTACGCCATGCAACCATACTTTCATTCATGTACTCGTTCAAAAAATATCTGAGCCCTTACCATGTTTCATGCATCGTGCTTGGAGCAGGGAATACAAAAGTAAGCAAAAGGACAGGGCCCCTACTCTCAGGGCATTTGCAGTCCAGTATGGAAACCCAACAGTAAAATAACCTGATACGTGCTCTAAGAGTAATGAGGAGACCTAATCCAGTCTGCAGGGGACAGGAAAGGCTTCCTTAAGGAAGTGCTATCTCAAATTTAAGCTAGAGGAGTTCATCATGTGAGGTAGGCAGGGAGATTTCTGGGTTGAGAATTCAGTAAATGGTAGGAGAAGAAAAGTAAAGTTCACAGGAAGGATTTAAAGAAGGAAGTGTGGCTAGAGACCAACAGGGCAAGTATGTGTGAGGAAGCTGGGGAAGTTACAGGATTGTGGGGGGGATGATGACGACTTTTGACTTCATCCTAAAGAGTGATGAATTTCTACCCGCTCCAAATCTCTCAGACCCAACTGCATCCTCCCTGCTTCAGTACACCCACCTGCCCACGCGAGGGCGCACCAGGCCATGGGACTTGATGAAGACACAATCGCCAACCTTTAGCCACATGTCATTATAACGGAGCTGCTCAAAGTAGTGGCAACCTGGTTCACCATTTGACATTTCCACAGGGACATCTTCTTTCTCCTGTGGTAAAGGAAACTGGTTGAAGATAGGCAGCTGACAATCAAGGAGTAGACAGAAGAGGTTAAGAAAAAGCTGACTTTCCTTCATATTAACTTAAAATAAAAAATCACCATAAACAGAAGTTTTGATGAAGACTGGAGACAAGATTGGGGTACTGAAACCAAACTAAGTCTTATTAAATATTGTACTTATTTTAAATTTATACTTAAGTTTCATAAACTGTTACCCCCCCCACCGAACACACACCCCATTCCCACAGCCTTTGGGGGAGGTGGGGGAGAGAAGCACCGCAGAGGATACATCAGCATTCAGGACCAGCCTCACTCACACACTGCTATGGAGGATAAGGAGCAGATTCTGCGCAAGCTTCCTCTTCATTACATTTACTGATCTCTCAATTTCTTAACATTAACAACTGATGGTTTTAAATGATAATTAAAAAAAATAAAATTGTTATCATTTTGATTTATTCTGGAATGGAAAGGAATAGTACAGCCTCTGTGACATAAACACATACACTCTGTTTCTGAATAAATTACAAGGTCTGTCACCTCCTGGCTGCTGTGACACTGGGCAAATTACCTGACCTCTTAGGTCATCTGTAAAATGAAGGCAGTGCACCCATCAGATGGCGCTTTAGGAAGAAGCTCCAATGACACACTCCACAGTTAAATATACAGAACAATGCCCGACTTATGAAAAGCACTTGAACACCCATTCATTGTTGTTTTATAGTTTTGGCAAAAAAAAAAAAAAAAGAAAGAAAGTAAAAGAAAAAGGGGCGCCTGGGTGGCTCAGTCAGCTAAGGGTCTGCCTTCGGCTTAGGTCATGATCTCAGGGTCCTGAGATGGAGCTCCGTGTTGGATTCTGTGCTCAGCGGGGAGTCTGCTTCTCCCTCAGCCTCTGTCCCTCCCCCTGCTCTTCCGAGTGCTCTCAAATAAATGAATAAAATCTTTAAAAAAAAAAGAAAAAAAGACAGTTTTGATCTGATGCAGAAAGTGGGCACGGCATGAGGTGTTTTAAACATATTAACTCCAAAACACATAAAAGCTGAGGCAACTCCAGAACCCCAATATTTTCTACTGCATCTGAGAATATCTGAAACTTCAAACCGAAAAAAAGAAAAATCTCCTTCAGAAGGTCCAAACAATTTGTTTTGATCTTTCTGACTTCAAATGTGATATATAAATGGTCTCCTGGAAAATCCTTAAGAATGAGCGAGGTCGATATGAGGAATTCTTAATCTCAGGAAACAAACTGAGGGTTGCTGGAGTGGTGGGGGGTGGGAGGGATTGGGTGGCTGGGTGATAGACATCGGGGAGGGTATGTGCTATGGTGAGCACTGTGAATTGTACAAGACTGATGAATCACGGATCTGTACTTCTGAAACAAATAATGCAATATATGTTAAGAAAAAAAAGAAGAAGAAGATAGCAGGAGGGGAAGAATGAAGGGGAGTAAGTCGGAGGGGGAGACGAACCATTAGAGACGATGGACTCTGAAAAACAAACTGAGGGTTCTAGAGGGGAGGGGGGTGGGGGGATGGGTTAGCCTGGTGATGGGTATTAAAGAGGGCACATTCTGCGTGGAGCACTGGGTGTTATGCACAAACAATGAATCATGGAACACTGCATCAAAAACTAATGATGTAATGTATGGTGGTTAACACAACAATAAAAAAATTAAAAAAAAAAAAAAGAATGAGCGAGGTCACACATATAATGGGTGAGGGGAACCTGTAGGAATGGGAGCTATAAAGTAGCCCCTGAAATTAAGAATAACTTTTTCTGGGTGCCTGGGTGGCTCAGTTGTTTAAGCATCTGCCTTTGGCTCAGGTCATGATCCCGGGGTCCTGGGACTGAGCCTCACACTGGGCTCCCTGCTCAGCGGGGAATCTGCTTCTCTCTCTCCCTCTGCTCCCCCAGCTTGTGTGCGTGCACCCTCTCTCTCTCTCTCTCTGTGTCAAATAATAAAATCTTAAAAAAAAAAGTAACTTTTTCTTTTAGGAATGGATTCTGTTCTGAAGTTCTTTTTTTTTTTAAAGTAATCTCTCTGCCTTGAGAATGAAAGCTGCATGCTCTACCTGCTGAAGGTATTCTTTTAAAAAGTTCCAGGAACAACTTGTTTCAGCCAGGCAGTATTGAAATAAAGATAAGAGACAAAAACAAAACAAAACAAAACGTGTGCACAGAGAGGACCCTGGAGACTTATGAATTCTAATAAGAAATCTGCGTTAATTCTCATGTTCACTTCCATTGGTATTTCTTATTCTTTCAAAATTAATTTCTCTATGATTCCCAGGCATACTGGTGAAATGTAAAAAATATCATGTTCTTTCCCAAGCTCCCTTTCTCTTGTAACACTGTTAGGACACTAAAATGTATTTCTTTCCTAAGACAGGAAGAAGTCGATTTTTTCCAGTTTTTATATTAACAATTTAAAAGCTTTATCTTTTTTGACTAGATAAATGAACCATATCTGTGGGCAACAATTCAAACATTAGAGCATGTAAAACTTAAAGGCAATCTTCTGTGATCCAACCCCAGAGATAAACACCTGGTTCAGCACACAGCAGTTCTCCACACTGCTTTTACAGTCGTGTATGTAAACATACAGTTTTTGTTTTTAAATGTTTTATTTATTTATTCATGCGAATCAGAGAGAGAGAGAGAGAGGCAGAGGCAGAGGGAGTAGTAGGCTCCCTGCCTAGCAGGGGGAGTGGGAGAGGGAGAAGCAGGCTTCCTGCTGAGCAGGGAGCCTGATGCGGGGCTCAATCCCAGGACCCTGGGATCATGACCCAAGCCAAAGGCAGACACTTAATGACTGAGCCACCCAGGCGCCCCGGTCATATTGTTCTTAAATAACTAATTTGATTTCACTTATAAAAACACATTTTCTCTAAGTATTTTCTGCATCAATATTCATCAGTTAGACTGAAATGTAGCTTTTCTGTTTTAATTTTGTCAGGCTTTAGAATTAAGATTATTCTCATTTTGTAAAATAAACTGGGAAGTTTTGTTTTCCATGCTTTGAAATAATTTAAACAGTATTACAATTACAGGTCTCTTAAAGGGTTAAAAGAATTCACCCATGGAATTATCCGACCTGAGTACTCTGTGATTAGCTCTCAGAACATTTTTTAAAAATTCCTTCTTGTTGTTGTCCACTTACGTGTTACATCTCTTCTTGATTCTTCAGTAATTTATAGTGTCCTAGAAAATTATTCATTTTATTCAGGCTTTCAAATTTATTAACAGAAATGTACAAGTCTTTAAATTTCTTCCACATTTGTATGTCTGAGCTTAACTGCCTTCCTTTTTTATTAGGATAGTTGGTAGTTTATCTCGCTGGACTTGTTGAAGAATTAGCACTTGGATTTACTTTTAAATTCTATTTTTCAGTTCTACTGGTTTTCTAAGTATTAATTTCTGTCCTTCTTCTATAGTCCCCTTCTTTCTGTTTGGCTAAGGTTTTATGTTGTTGCTCTTTTTCATTCTTTTTTTTTTTTTTAAAGATTTTATTTATTTATTTGACAGAGAGACACAGAGAGAGAAGGAACACAAGCAGGGGGAGTGGGAGAGGGAGAAGCAGGCTTCCCACTGAGCAGGGAGCCCGATGTGGGACTCAATCCCAGCACCCTGGGACCATGACCTGAGCCGAAGGCAGACGCTTAACGACTGAGCCACCCAGTTGCCCCTCTCTTTTTCATTCTGAATTTGATACTTTATTCATTTATTTTCTGGAATAGGTATTTTGAAATGTAAAATTCTTTTCTGTGTGGCTTTTAGCTACATACCTTTTCCAAGTTAAAACTGTCTTCAGTTCGACTGTCCTCTGAGTTGTCTGTGTTCTTCTCGTCATCCCCTTTATCTGCATTTGCAAATACAGAGGCCACTCGGACCACAGGCAAGGGCACATCCCGAGGGACAAATCTCACTGAGCTGATGGGCATGGTCCACAGTTTAATTTTCTTAAAAGATTTGGTTTTGGCAGAATACCGTGATTCGCAGACAAAAACATCCTCATCTCGAAAGTTTTCTGGGCATAATTTAAAGTATTCCTGGGAGACATAAGAATAAGATTATTAGGTGAATTTTCTGAAAACCAGTCAACCAAAAAAACCAAAACTACACGTCAGTCAAGCAAACAAATGTTAACCTGTTAAGACTTTCTGACAGTTAACAAACAGTAAATGGTTAGCAACGTACAAGCATCTCCCTGCTATAGAAGGGCCTTATTAAATATAAATACTTAGCTTACCAACTGCCCTTTTGAAAATATATTAGCATTTCATACAGCTATAATGTTCCTAAAAGCTTTGGGCAGGGCTCAATGTACCTATATCACATATTTACACAAAAAGTATACTTTATTATACCTAAAAAGCACACTGACAATTTTTAATGATCTTTCAGAAAACGTCATCCTCAAAATTAGCCTGGCAATATAAAAAAATTTAAGCTAACTGCATATAGCTATATAGTGTAGGCAGCAAATGGTGGTCTTTCATCATCATGATCAATTTCCTCCCAAATCTTTATCCAATGCCATATAGACACAGCTTTAAAAAAAAAAAAAAAAAAAAAATCAAGGTTTGAAACAGAGTGCCTAATTTATAAATACCAATTTTTTGTGTTTGTAAATTTTATTTTCATGGAATGATTTGTACTTTGGAGCCTAATGAGTTTCTTACCTTGACAAACATGACCACACATTTTCCTAGAATTTTACTAACGGGAACTTTATTGTAATAGTCACTCTTAAAAACTTCTTTTTCTAGAAATTTCCGTGTAGCCAGATGGAATGTTTCATTTGGCCGATAAAACCAACAGCCATACAACCATTTTTCACCTCAAAAACAAAAAGGGAGAGAGAGGGGAAATTACCATTAACAGAAATCACACATTCTTTGCAAAATGAGCAAATTCTCCATCCACTCTGCCATGGCCTGAACCTAACAATGTGCTTTTTAGGCCACAGTTTCTTAAAATAGTTACCTTAGAAGAAATGATACTTTAAAGTAATGAAGTATAATGAGGCCTAAAAAATGCTACTTTCCCCCTCATGTTAAAAAATGTATATAGGATGAAGAAGGTGATGAGACCTGCCCTAGTCTGCTGGGCCCAGGACACACTCAAGACCGTGTGCTTAAGGACAGAGCATCTAAAGCATATCAAGGACGCATTTAGCACTTAGGGGAAGGGATACAAAGGTACTTCATGAGGAGCAGCTGAGGGAACTGGACTGTCTGGATCACATTTCTGTCTACTTCTGGCTTAATTAACTCCTATTTGTTCTCCATGTCTTAAGCGAAAGGCAACTGTTCTAGGATGCCTTTTTGAAATCCAATTCTAAGCCAAGGCACATGTCACACTATAATAATTTCCTTTTTACTTGTGGTTTGTACCAGACTGGTTTTGCCAGGGGCAAAACATGAGCCTTTAGTTCTTGTGAGGCTCTGCCATCCTCCAGTTTGGCTTACTTGTGTTTTAAAGAAACAGCAGTTGAGTGAATGAATCTCAGCCTCACATCAGGAGTTGCGTTTCCTTTGACTCAACTGTGCCACTCATGGGCCCAAGAGTATTAGATCCTATGTTTTTCATATAGCGGGTGCTTAATTCTATCTACCGAACACTGCAGAACGACTATTGTTGCAAGGCATGACATGTCTCAGTTACAATTTTCTTCCCTGAGGACCAAGGAGGAGTAAAATAGTCTCAGCTCACCATCTGCCCTTTGATTTAAAACACACTTACCAGCAGAATCTTCCCACAGTCTTTCAATGCAGACGATGTGTGGCTGCAGGCTGGCCTCTGCGGGCTCCACATAGACGTAGTCTCCGACATGGTACATGCTGTTCTTAAAGCTGCAGTCCTGGCTGTACGTGCGGTGCAAGCCAGAGAGGCCTGCGGCGCCTGAGGAGTCTTCGCTCTTTTCAGCTTCTTTGGTGAAGACAAAAAGGTTCCCATTAATGGGATGTGGGAATCAGATGTAGGATTCAAACAACATATACTAATACATTTCATTCTTTCCTAGACCTTCAAGGGCAGGATTCAGGACAAACAGTATGTTATCTGTATTCCCAAGAGCCTCTACTCAAACTTGCCTTTTTTGAGTTACAACCAACTGCCCTTAATTTAAGTAAATGCATAAACAGACAAAGGATCTACACAGTAAAAATAACCATCTTAATAATATACGCTCAATGTAGTTGTTCTGGATGATAAAGAAAGGTAAAGAGAAAACAGGTCACTTGTAAATCATGCAATCCTGGAAATGATCTCTTATGTACTTCCCTTCCATCTTAATGCCTCTGAAATTTTTTCCCCCTAACAGTTATTATATGGGTATGTCAAATGGAATCTTAGAAATGAAAAAATATGGAATATGCGTATCAAACAATATAATGTAAACTATATATGTCTACACTGAAGATACACTGAACAGGGGTGCCTGGCTGGCTCAGTCAGAAGAGCATACAACTCTTGATCTTGGGGTTGGGAGTTCGAGCCCCAGGTCGGGGATAGAGATTATTTAGAATAAATAAGTAAATAATAATAATAATAATAATATACACTGAACAGTTCCTGAGATTAATGCTTTTTCAACAAGACTTATTTTTGCTAAATAATACTTTTTGATGGCTACTATGTAAGCCATCTTTTGCAAATACCATAGGATTTTTTTTAGATTTTATTTTTGAGTAATCTCTCCACTAAACATGGGGCTTGGACTCACAACCCCGAGATCAAGAGTTGCACATTCCACCAACTGAGCTGGCCAGGTGCCCCAGGGTTTTGTGTTTTTGAGGATAAAGATTTGCCCATATTTCCAATTATTTCCTTATGATAATTTTCTATAAATGCAACAGCTAGAAATAAGCATTTTAAATGCTTTTTTAAAAAAGATTTATTTGAGCGAGATAGAGCTAGAGAGAGCGCGCGAGAGAGCACCAAGCAGGGGGGAGGAGCAGAGGGAGAGGGAGAAGCAGGCTTCCCGCTGAGCAGGGAGCTTGACATGGGGCTCAATCCCAGGATCCCAGGATCATGACCTGAGTCACAGACAGACCTTACCGACTGAGCCACCTACGGGCCCCACATCATTTTTTAAGTTTTGCCAAGTTTGGTGGAAAATGTCATCTAGTATTTGATTAGCCAGATAAATCCCTATAAGATATCAAGAGATTGACAAGGTTCTTGAGATCATACACCAGCAGGAACACTGTCAACTGAATGGAAAGAGACAGAGAAAGTACAAAATCAGAGAGTTAGCTAAACCCCCAAAATTCTAGACAGGAAACGGGCTGCTAAAACTACTCAGCTGCAAACATGTGCTACCTTTCATGAAAAAGGGTGATGTAGAGGGCAGAGTGCTGAGCCACAGAGGACTATTTCTTGGACTTGGAACCTAATGACTCTGCCCAGCTGGATTTCAAGATTGCTTTGAACTCAAATGATCCTTTCCTCTCCATTTCTCCCTTTCTGAATGAGAATCTCTCTCATCCCACTCATGTGTCGTCACTATATTGTAGGAGCAAAGAACTTGTTTTTTAGTTTTACAGGTCCACAGATGGAGAGGAATTATGTCCCAGGAGGGATCATACCCAGAGCCCCACCCATATACACCTATTTAAATGATTTATATAATAAGATTTAAGACTTTTGAGCTCATAAAGCTGATATATTTAGATGAGATTTTGATACCTGCTAGAGGGGTGTTACTGCAACAAACACCTAAGAAATAGGGAAGTGACTCTGGAATTGGGCAAGAACAGAGACTGGAAGAATTTTTTTTTCCTTTGGAAACAACAAACTTTCTAAGAATTTTAAGAGAAAAAGCCTCCATTGCTTTGAACAGACTATGGCAGAGAAACGGACATTAAGGACTTGGCAGCAGAAGGCACAGGTGGGAATGAAGAAAGTGTTACTGGAAAGGAGATCCTCATTATATAGTGGCAGAAAGCTTGGCAGAACTGTACCCTGCAATCACTTGGATTCTGGGCCTCTTGGGATGATCTCCTGGTCATCTTTCTACTTCTTTGTTTGTTGTTCTACTGCCTTGGAGTTTTTTTTGTTTTTTTTTTTTAAAGATTTTATTTATTTGAGAGAGAGAATGAGATAGAGCATGAGAGGGGGGAGCGTCAGAGGGAGAAGCAGACTCCCTGCTGAGCAGGGAGCCCGATGCAGGACTCGATCCCGGGACTCCAGGATCATGACCTGAGCCGAAGGCAGTTGCCTAACCAACTGAGCCACCCAGGCGCCCTGCCTTGGAGATTTCTTCTTCATCTTCTAATCCTTCTCTAAATGTTTCCTTTCTGCCATCATTAAAAATTTTTTTAAACTGAATCAATTTGACATAAAACAATGGGTCAACTTAGGTTATACAACCAGTTACTTTGATACATTTATATTTGTTGCCACTGTAGTGATAATTTTTTTTTAAACACATAGTCGTTTTTTTAGATTTATTTATTTATTTATTTATTCATTTGAGACAGAGAGATACAGAGAGAGAGAGCATGAGCAGCGGGAGTTGCAGAGGGAGAGGGAGAAGCAGGCTCTCCGCTGAGCAGGGAGCCGGATGCGGGACTCGATCCCAGGACCCTGGGATCATGACCTGAGCCGAAGGCAGAGGCTTAACCATCTGAGCCACCCAGGCACCCCACTGTAGTGATATTTATCACAGCACTTACTCATGTAAGATACTGTGGTCTATCTTCATTCTAGTGTGCTTTAGCGCTCCATGGCTATTTACTACTCCTTACAAGTTTGTACCATTAAACACCATCTTCTTTTCGCTCCCACCCCCCTCTGCTATCATTGTTTTTAAACAGTTTCATTGAGATATGATTCCCACACCATATAATTCCCCTATTTAAAGTGTACAATTCAGTTTCTTGGTATGTTATTAATTTTTTAAAAATGGTAATACACTACATAAAATTTGCCATTTTTGGATGATTTTTAAGGAGATAATTCAGTAGCATTAATTACACTCATAATATTGTGCAATCATAACCACTATCTATTTACAAAACTTTTTCTTTATTTCAAACAGAAGCTCTGTACCTGTTAAGTACTAACTCATCTCTCCTCCCCACCAGGCCCTAGTAACCTCTATTCTAATTTCTGTCTCTGAATTTGCTACTCTGGGTCCCTCATATAAGTGGAACCATACAATATTTGTCCTTTCCTGGCTATTTCAGTTAGCGTGTTTTCAAGGTTTTATCCGTGTTGTAGCATGCATCACAACTTCATTACTTTTTATGGGTGAATAACACTCCACTGGGTGCATATACTACATTTTATTTATTCATTAGTTAATGGGCACTTTTCTGAAGAAATGTGATTTTTTTTTTTTTTTAAGTCATGTTATCTTCTCCTTGATGACCTCATTTAGGTAGTAACAGCACGGGAGCTATTTTAAAGATTTACAGCAGTTGAGGAAGCCTTAGGCCACTGCTGAGAGCAGCACTGCTTAAAAAGCTACTGAGTGCACTTGGGAGCAGGGGGTTTGCGGCCTGGCTTAAGCTGGTCCATGTCTGGTAAACTTTACTTACAAAAGAACACTGGAAATGACTGACTTACACAAAATTCCCTGCATCCTTCTTTTTTCTTTTGCAAGCCCATTTGGGGGCAAAATAGAAAATAAAATAAAATAATGTGTACATGTGTGTATGTGTGTGCTTTGAGTGGAGGACACTGATTATACCATGTCCATTTATGTGGGGAAATCAAATTCAGGAAACATTTTATGAGCTTCTTTTGTTCTAGGTAATTATTACTCTAGATGTGAAAAGTGAAAAGAGAAATTCTTTATATGAAATGGTTTTGCCCTATGTTGGATCAACAACACCCAGGCCTGTCAGACACAGATGGACCACGAGGAGGAAGTTCTATTTGTGTCTCACCACGGTCTGTCTCAGCCACACACATGCAGGTGCGCAGGCGCAGCCGTGGGTGAGTGAGGCCCTCTCTCTAGCACAGTGGCTTCCAGGAATTAAGGACACATCTCTGAGTACCGTCAAATGCCAATGGGCAATCTAAATCTGGCACTGGCTCCTCTTCAAAGGAGCACCGCCGGAAAACTAGAAGCAAAAATACTTACAATGAAAGACACACCTCTATGAAAATGGCTTCAAACTATGAAAAAAAAAGTCTAAAAACCACATCTTCCAAGAAATCCAGGAACAGTCCAATTCTACTTTGTAAACAAATAAGCAAGCAAGCAAGCAAACAAACCAGCATGTGAAAGAAAACTGGTTAATCTGGGAAGTGTTCCACAGAGAAACATTAAGCCCTTAAAGTCTGTATGAACCATCCTAAGTAAGCTCATTGGTGCTGTTAAATTTGCTGCATTCTACTTCACTAAAATGTGACATTATAGTATTTTCAGGTGTCACTACTTTTGGTCCACCAAAGTGGTCCAGGATCCAGATGTTGGTTAAACTCAACTTAGCAAAGAACCAATTATGGCTGGAAGGCCAGGTTTTCATCTCAGGGTGCTGGATGAACAGTGAATGCCTGGCAAAGTCCATTTCCATTTCATTCACATTAGTAACAGTTCCTGACAGTATTATGTGAGCAGAGAGGGAAGTTGGGGATCAAATACATGCTTCCTGCAGAAGTTAGTCTATGCCAAAGACATGGTCAGCATAGCATGTGGATTCTCCTGAGGGTTGCCTACCAACTGCTGCAGTGGGCTCAGGCAGAAGTAGGGCATGCTGCTGCCCACGCCCGGGGGCCCATTGCCGAGTGAGAAGACATCGACAAAGGCCTAGCTGTGCACTGCCTCCTCTCTGGAGAGTTTGGCCAGTGTGCCCCAGTCACAGACATATGTCACGAAGTGGATCACGTGCTCCGCGCCTTCGTGGGGCAGTGGCGCAGCGGTGTCCCAGTCCCGGTGGTCCTGGCTGCCCCAGCCCCATGCCAGTGCCACCAGCAGCGCCATTGGTGCCAGCGCTAACAGGCTGCCACGGTGACTCCAGCGGGTCCAGAAATGATCGAGTTTATTATTTTTTTTAAAGATTTTATTTATTTGACAGAGAGAGCACAAGCAGAGGGAGCAGCAAGCCGAGGGAGGGGGAGAAGCAGGCTCCCCACTGAGCAGGGAGCCTGATGTGGGACTCGATCCCAGGACCCTGGGATCACGACCCGAGCTGAAGGCAGACGCTTAACCAGCTGAGCCACCCAGGTGTCCCTAAAATGACCAAATTTCTAATAAAAGTTCCCACTGTCAAAATATTTCTAAGTTCTGGCAAGGGACTCAAAGTAACATTTTTGCATTGATAAAATGAAAATAAAAATTTCCTCCTAGTATTGTGGTTCAACCAAAATATCACCTACTCTGGACCGAGTCTGCAGGAGGAAAGCCATCCGGCAACATGACAGGGCAGAACCCTGATGCATTCACTGCTGCGAATGCTCCCCGGGTCCAGACAGGCCCCGCAGGTTTTATCTGCCAATAGTATTTCGACCTGGTGAGCTCCCAAACTTGTGAGCTAACTGACCGTTCCTTAAATACTAGGGCAACAGCTGTGTCACACAGCACTTCCAATTTTTAAGTCTGATGACCAAACCGATGATGATAAAAGCATCTCTATCTCAACATGGCCATTCTGAAAGAGTCAACATTTACAGACAGGATTCATCCCCACAGCTAGCTAGGAGAGCCAGAACTAGAACAGAGTATATAACATGTTTTCATGTTTAATAAAATGAAAAGAAACCAACCTCTTTTTTCTTCTTCTCGTTTTAGTTTATCTTCCTCTAGTTCTTTTGGCAATTTTTCCTTTTTCTCTTTCTCCACATCATTATGCAAATGTTTTGTGGTATAGCTGAGTGCTGGTGAAAGCAGGATCTCTCCATTTTTGCAGAGTTCATCACGAATTTTAATAAAAAACTGCTGCAGTTCTACCGCGTCCTCGTAGATTTCAGAATCTGTCCTATAAGGGCATCAAGAGCACCCATTGACATACAAGTTGCTTCTTTCACACACCTCAGTTATATGTTTAACTCTACCCCATGCTTCCATAACACATTAATGGATGTAATGGTACTTCTGTACAGCAGGGTGTCTCCTTGAAAGTTTTAGAACAGAATCTGAAGTGCTGTTACCTCGGTGAGCCTCAGGCCCACCAGTTTCCTCTTCCTTAAGGCTCACTCCTTGTACAGCTCATGTAAAAGAAAAGGCCTCATACAGTTTTCTGGGGAGAAACAAGGCTCAAGCATCCGTTGATTTTGGTATTTGGCAGGGGACTGTCACAATCAAGGACTACACTGAGGCTCCACACCACGACACTTACTTGTATCTAATCCTTGGATTTTTACTTTCTCTTAACCAAGGGACTAACACATTATACAAACTATTGACAAAAGATTTAGGCAATGTCCACTTTCTTCTTTTTGAATCTCTATCATGCTTGCCTAGGCTGGTAGGCCCCAGCAAATATTTGACCCTAAACTGCAAAGTCACGAGCATCCTATAACAGTTACGGGCCTCAGAGTCAGTGTTCATGTTAGTTTCCCAGAAATGACTACATAATGCTGGGGAACCAGCAGAGGCAACATAGTGAAAGATGGGGAAAAAATTATCTGCCACACTGAAAGCTTTTTATTTTTATTTATTTTTTTAAAAGTATTTATTTATTTGAGAGAGAGAGAGAGCGCACATGAGAGGGGGGAAGGTCAGAGGGAGAAGCAGACTCCCTGCTGAGCAGGGAGCCCGATGCGGGACTCGATCCCAGGACCCTGGGATCATGACCCGGGCCGAAGGCAGCCGCTTAACCAACTGAGCCACCCAGGCGTCCCAGTGATCCCCACTGAAAGCTTTTTAAAGGCTCTTTCCTCATTTACAGAATGAGAGGACAGGACTGGGCAAAATCAGCTTCAGAATTCAGACTGGAAGAAACTCTTTTACTATCTCTAATCCACTGTGGTCCGAGGATGGCTTAAACATAATTCCATTAACTAGGAATACCAGGGTCTGAAAAATGATTCACAAAGTAACCACAAAGTCTTAGCAGCAGTTATGGACACATTCTGGTCAGGGGGGAGTGGCAGGCATAGCAAGCCTAGTCAGCTGCCTGCTGATAACCACCACTAGAGCATCAAATTTTACTGAAACCTCCAGAACGCTTCTCCCCATCAGCCAAAGTGAACTGGCAAACAATCTAAAAACACTGCCAATAACAACCTAAATCAATGTTTCTGGAAAGGTTTTAAAAATCTTTTCAGGTTACAGAAATGCTAATACTTACAGGAAAGCAACAAAAATAAAACTGGTCAAGGGAAGAAACTCCTATGATATTATTGATACCTGTTTTCTGAACAGAGAGGTCTTAAGACTGTTCACTTGACATTAAAATTCATTTTATAATAGCTTACAATTTTAAATATAAAATTAAAAGTGAAGACGCACTTTTGGTAATCCCTGTTACAATGAAAGGGCAGATTCATAATTCCATCAGGTCATGTTGTTTAGTAATGGAAGTTCTGTACACAGCCGTTAAACATCTGACTTTCCTGTTTTATTTAAACAAAGTAATATGAAAAACTGATTAATTAATCTGTGAGGCTCAGTGTTGCTGGCACGCTTAAGAACAAAAACCCAAGATGGAAAAAGAAAACAACCCTGAATGCCCCTTAGCTGGCGGGTGATCTTTACAAGGCAGACATCCAGCAGACTGACATAATTAAGAGTACAGGAAGCTCTTAGTGCTTCCCTTGTCCTTGTCTTCCCGAGGGTCCCCCTTCCTGTAAGGCAGTCCGAGAACTGAATTCAGGAATGCTGCCAGCCCATCAGGAAAGCCAGTGGCTAACTGGCATGAGTCAGTGCCGTGCTGTTACTGAATACTGCTGATGGACAAACCACCGGCCCCTGAATGAACTTTTCTATGCCTCACTTTCAGACTCCCTCTATTCAGGATGTGAGGTCCTAGGTGATGCTGAGTGGCAGTGGTGGATAGGGGTGAGTGTGAAGAGGCATGAACACTGTTAAAGATCAAAATAGAAATCTAGTGCCTATGGACTTCATTAAATTCATCAACTTAGTATTTTTGAGATATCTATCCTCATTACTGACAAAACGGATAAAATGATGGTTTATCATTCACTAAACTGATGCATATCCACCTCAGCAGCATGGGATTATGCTTAAGTACCATAAACAGTCATAATACGACCTTCATTCAAATGGTTTCCCTTAGTTTTACAAGGCTCTGGGCACAAGAGTGAAACTCATCACTGCCTCATGTAAATAAATGCATCCAAGACTCTACCTTCCAGGCCTCAAAAGCAAATCATGTCAACAATGGGAGAATGAAAAGAGCTCATTTCCTAGAGATACAATCTGCTTATTTCCTAAAATAGACACACCATCTATATAAGATAGACAAAGTTGCTAATGATCTCAGAGACAAATGCACTTTTGGAAGACTCACAGAACTAACCCCAAGACCTAACGGGGGTGGGGCAGAGGTGGAGGAGAGGAGTGACTTTAGACTTAAGAACTATTTAAGAAAACTGAGAACAAAAATGAAGTCTAAGCTCCATGAAAGAGGATTTGTATGTCTTGTCCACTGGTGTATCCCAAGTATCTAGAACATGCTTATAACTGGTAGCCACTCAATTAACATTTGTTGAATAAGTGAAAATAAAGAATGCAAATTTTGACTGCAAGATGTCTCCCCATTTTTCTCTTCATTTCTAGCTCTGCAGTTGAACATTAAGGCCGTTTCCTAATGTGTCACTCAAGTGCCTCTCCAATCTGACCCCAACTCCACCATCTCTTGAACACACCACATTCATTTCCTAACCCCGTGCCTTCACTCAAACGACTTGCCTTATTCTACATCCCACCCATTCTCCCATTCTCCGCTGATGCCTCAGGTCTTTTCAGAACTCTAGCACAGAGTTCCTACTCCACCATCTTTACTACATATCAAGTTGTTGTATGTTGTCTCATGCCTGGAATTATTTTTCCCTAAGCACAGGTCCTAACCCAACTGTCGGACTTGGTGCTCTTAGATCACAGAGCACAAGCCTGATCGTCTACAGCTAGGCTCCGTGACTACTGTCCTGGTGCCTGGCTCTGCAGTGAGGGAACAAGATGAGCAGCCCCACTTACTAGTTGTGTGACTGTAGGCAACTTACTTCTGTCTGCATACTTCTTCAAATGCAAAGTGGGAAGATTATCACCTAGAATGGCTATTATAAGAGTTAGAGATTATCTAGATAAAGTGTTTCGCATGGTGCTTTACAAAGAGGAGGTGCTTAATAGGAACAGCAAACGTTACTACTAATTTTTCTTTCAAGATCCAGAGCAAATGCAGGCTTCACCAGATTCCCCAGCTGGAATTACTCTACACCCACTGCCTAAAAGTCTCCTTTCAGCATGGTAGACTATAAACTCCAGGAAGGTAGGGTCTGTATCTTTAACTTTTTATATTCCCCCAAGTGACTCTAAGAGCACACAGAAGACACACTGTAACTGCTAAACTGAAATTGTTTTAAGTCAATTATATCATTCTTGTGTGGTGAAGATATAACACAGATCAGAATTAAAAGGGAATTCAAGTTTGATGGCAATTTAAATTTGATTGCTTCTTTTAGTACATTTACTATCTGCAAAAGGCACTTAAAAGTGAGAAATCTGAGATTAAAAAAAAAAAGAAGAAGCCTTTTTAGGAACTGGAAATGGTGACCAGATTTAAATTGGCTAACTTCAGATCAATAACTTAAGAGCTATTTTAATTTATTCAAAGCATGCTTGGATTGAACTCAAAGTTTAAAAAAAATCACACTACTATTTCTAATTATAAGCATTTCATCCTTTAAAAAAACATGTTCTGTAAAATACTCTAAGAGTTTATGCTTTTCAACAGATCTTCAAATTTGTCCTGTATTCCTTCTCAATGGCCCTGATCTAGATGATGCACTAGTGTGTGTGCTCTCCCCCACAGCATATGCTTGCTCTCTAGATGTTGTGGCAAGTAAGAACTCAAAACAGCACTGCACCAACTGTAACCATGTACCTAAGCTGAAACAGTATATCAAAGCAGAATTTTCTTCTGTTTTGCATTAAATATCACACCTCCTCAAAAAGAAATAGCTTTGAAAACCTACCGATTCATCCTTCTTGCCCTTTCCAAGACTTCAAACATATGCTCTTGAAATAAATCGAGCCGCCGGTAGCGATTATTTTCAACATTCTTTCTAATTATGTCAAATGTAAGAGGAGGTTTGTTTGGGAAGTTGGGATCCACAGCAGGAATTTCTGCTAAGGAATCACTGTAGCATCTTCCTTCATCATCCTGATGACTCATGACTGACACAAAAAGATTGTGAATAAGTTCTTGAATCAGCAGGGTCACATTTGGGACATGAGAGTCCTCATCTCCCTCCAGGTCTCTCCGAGTTTCAAGCAGGACCTTGTGTAGGACAAGGGCATCTTTGTAGATCAAAGACTCAGGCTCATTGTATGTACAGGCATTGTTAAACATCATGACGAAGTCCTCAACCATGGAGTCTATATCTTGGTATTTGTTGGCCATCATGTGACTTCGAATTTTTTCCATGTCCATGGGCTTTTTAATGGTCAGATAGTAGTCAGGCAGCTCGGATCTAGACGGAAGCCTCAGAAATATGGCACTGAGGCGGCGACCCCTCTTATCAGTATAGTTCTTTACAGCTTCATAGACTTCATTTAGTTTCTGCTGCATTGGAGTCATGTATTTTGATTTTTTAGGAGAAATTCCACTCTTCCTACCTAAAAGAAGAGATTTAATGTTAAATGAATAAAATGAAATAAATGAACCCAAATTTGTATATAGCTGGTAAAGCATAATCATAAGAAAGGGAGTACTCCAAGTGATTTGTAAAACAGTTTAATTAGCACTTCTCTAAGTGAAGTATATCTAGCTTATGGACAAAGAAAAAACTGGAAACAAATTTAAACTGTTTTCAGTAATCATATTTTTAGTGAGGGAGTAATAAGCGTTATCATGTTGAGATAGTTGTGAAAAGTAGAATAAAACAAATGAATAGTTATGTGACATTCTAATTCCATCACCTGTAACATCCTTGAGAACTGAGATTTTTTTTTAAAAGATTTTATTTATTGATCCAAGAGCGAGAGAGTGAGCACGAGTGGAGGGAGGGGCAGAGGGAGAGGGAGAAGGATACTCCCCGATGAACCTGGAGCCTGATGAGGGGCTCAATCCCAGGACCCTGGTATCATGCATGACCTGAGCCGAAGGCAGACGTTTAACCGACTGAGCCACCCAGGCGCCCCAAGAACTGAGATTTTTATCACAGGAGAAAAAGAGATCCAGATGTTAAAACAGAACACTGAATAAAAATCTTGTAGCTGTAAATCTCAGTTAAGAGCATCAGTATGAACTTATGACGTATTTTATCTTTAAATATAATACAAACACACACAGAATTTCCTAGTTCTGTCCACTGAAAATCCTGGAAACAATGACCAATACAGTAGCAGTATAACCCCACATAGTTTGACTGTATTGACCATAATTCTGAAATACAGATTTCAAATACTAACACCAGTAGCTCCTTAGCAAATGGCTGACTTGTAGCTGGCACAAGATGAGCCTCATGTATCTTGAAACACAAGACAGTAAAGAATCTGTCACCGCCTTCTTACTGTGGTTATGTCAGTAGAACATAGTGGCCAGTCTGGGACAACAGGAGCATCAATAAGGACAACAACTGCAATGAGTTAAAACTCAGCAACACATTTAAATTTAGTAGTTCTTAATGATATATAAAAATGAACAAACAAACTGGGTAAACGTTGCAGGATACTGGTAAACCAATGCATTGCTTTGAAAACTGGCAAACCAAGGGGGGTAAGAATCTATCTTTTACGCTTTCAAAAAAACCCAAAACAAGACAAACAAGCAAAAATTGTACTACTGGGTAACCAAATATTGGATGAGGCGAAGTTTCTCTATACAGAAGTATTCCAGTTGGTAAATGAGCAAGGAATGATAAAATCAGACTATCGTTATTTTATACTTCTTTAATGAATTAATGGAGTCCGCATCAATAGCTGCTAACACGTGAGAGAAACGACAGCTGCTACAGGGCCACGCGATTGAAGACCATTCATCACCTCCGAAGTTGGTTTTTGTGCCAAAAGGAGAGGATGAGGATCAAAGCTAATTTAAATCTGATCAAGCCTGTTGCTCCAACTCCCAATTTAGAGGAAATATCAAGGACATTAGAACATGTAAACTATAGCAAAGGGATGCAACTGGCAAAGCCCAGACTGTGGGAAGCTAACAGGACAGCCCCAATTTCTTCAACAAATAAACTGCACAGGAAAAAAAGAAAGATGAGAGGGGGATTTATAGATTAAAAGAAGTATCAACCAAGTGCGGTATATGGACCTTATTTAGATTCTACCTCAACCAGACATTGCTCCAAGATGTGATGCAATGTAAGTGTAGAAAACCTATTATGTTATGAAGCAAGCATCCTTGCCGGGCTGATAATAAATCTAATCAAGCCTCTGGAGTAAATTTCCATTTTTTAAGAAACGAGAAGAATAAAGGGAAAAGTTAGCTGATATCACAAGAAAGTGAACTGATTAATCCAAAATTTGAAACTGTACAAGAAAGTGATCTGGTTTCTGAAGAGTCAATGGCATGAGGATTAAAAAAGGAGGGGCCTGCTCTAGACTGTGAACAGAGGGCGTAACAATCAAATATACAGAATTTAATTAGGTCCTGATTTGAAGAAACCAACTGTAAAAATACATTTGTGAGATAAGCAGTAAAATTTGAAAATTTATCAGGTATTAGGTGAAACTAAGAAACTTAATTTTGTTAGGTGTAATAATGATTCCATGGTTATTTAAGAAAATATCTGCATATTTAGAGATGCACACTGAACCATGTAGAAATGAAATGACATGACTGAATTTCCTTTAAAATAATTTAGAACAAAAAAAGAGAGAGAGAAAAGTGGATGTGGGAAGTAAGTATGGCACAATCTTGAGAAATGCTGAGTAACTGGTACATACAGGGCTTTGCTGTACCATTCTTCATATATGTTTGAAATCTTTCATAATACAAAATAGAGAAATGAAAAGAAAATCAACATTACACATTAAAATTTCCTTTCCCTAAACTTTAAAATATATGTATTTATTCATAGTTACTATTATCTATCATTTCCTAACTCAACTTACAAAATCACTTCTGTTTCTTAAAATCTTTTTAAATTTATTTTCAATTTTTTAAAAAGATATATTTATTTTAGAGAGAGCATAGGCAAGTGGGGGGAGGGACAGAGGGAGAGAATCTCAAGCAGACACCCTCCCCCGCCCCCTGCTGAGCACAGAGCCCAATGAAGCATGATCCCAGGACCCTAAGATCATGACCTGAGCTGCAACCAAGATTCAGATGCTCAACCGACTGACCCACCCAGGTGCCCCTTAAATTTATTTTTTCAAAGTAATCTCTGCACCCCATGTGAGGCTTGAACTCACAACCCCGAGATCAGGAGTTGCATGCTCCATTGACTGACCCAGTCAGGCACCCCTGGAATTAATTCTATTTTTAAAAGGCACTGTGTCCCTAAAAAGTAGAATAAAAGATTAACATTTCTGCAAACCTTCTGCATGCTTTTACAATTCCAAGAAAGGATAAATGCCTTAATAAGAAGGAATCATCACTTAGCAATAAATCATACCCCAAACTATTATAATATTCAGTTTATAGTCAATTCATATTAAAAAAAAAGGCAGGGTCTGTTTGTTTTCCCCCTTTCAGCAAATATAGTTCCAAAGAATATATGACAATACCATTGTAATTTGCTTGGTATTTATTTTATTTATATATTTTAAATAAGGCAGAATCCTCTTATTTAGTTCAACACTATTAACTGCTTTTGTTGTCTTTCCTATCCTCATAGTTCTAATAAAATCACTATCCACAGAGCACACTCAAAAGACAAGGGAGTTAACTTACAGTACAGTGGCTGAGCATCTCTAACTTCTCAAATTCTGTCTAGGATCTGCTGTTGGGATTCACTTTTAATTCTAGTACTCAGCAAACAAACATACAAAAAACCAAATCTGCCACTACACTCTTACAGGCATAATATATAGAAAAAAATATCTATTCTTACTACTTAATATTTACAAAATGTCCACAGCATTTAGAGAGTAAACAAAACCTCTGACTTTATAATCTATTCCCCACATGCTTTCCACAGTTTACTTAAAAAACAGAGTGCTTGAGAGAAGGAAAGAAACTCCCCGCTGGAGTGTGAGTTCAAACATATTCGCCACTTAATTAGACATTATTTCAGTGAATCAGTACTCTATCCTTGACAGACTAAACTGAGTAACAAGCGTTGAGGCTGCCTTACTCAGCTTGAGTTTGGGAGAAGCCACATCGTCATCATCAGGCAGCGGGCCCAGCTCTTTCCTTTTATCCTTGAGTAACTTCTCCAGGATGTGTGCGTCGTTGTACACCTATATTCCATAAATACATTTAAAATTATTTTCTAAAAAACGTTCTATTGAAGTAGAACATGCATCTATAAAGAAGTTTTAAAAACACACATTAGCATAGTTGGGAACTAAAGACATAAAGCTTGAGAGCAACCAAATCGCATCTCTGCAGAGTGGGCCTCAGCCTCAAATGGTTTGTTGTTTAAGCTTTCCAGGTGATTCTAATGTGCAGACATGCATGCTAAAGTTTGAGAACTACTGCAGCAGAATCACTGCAAGTTTTTACAGAAGTTCTAAAACATAATTATATGTGTTACTTTCTTCATAAATCTCTCTTCCACTGGACCCTTAAGGTAGCAGACTTAGCTCAATGGGAAATAAAAATTAAAAAGTAGATGATAGCTGGACAGCAATACCTCAAATATTGTTAAATGGGATTTAATATCAGTCTGAATTCATAATCTGGCCTCTGATCTGTGAAAAGCAACAATCCCTGCTTAGGATCTCTCTCTGAAGACGGAGCCAAGGGTGGTAATACATAGCCAAGAACAAGGTTACTCACCTAATGGCCCGTACAGCTACATCCCCCTATGATAGAGGGTTTGATCACAAGTACCCTCAGTGCCTACTTTATTTTGTAATAGCAAGAAGAAAGGAAATACATGATATTATTTTGTTTCTGGAAGATTTAAAGTAGATAAAGGAAACTCGAAAAAGGTATATGCACCCTTATCCATGTTCACTGCAGCATTACTTACCATAAACAAGATACGGAAGCAACGTGTGTCCATCAATAGATGAATGGATAAACACACACACACACACACACATACACAGAAGAATATTATTTAACCATAAAAAAAGAATGAAATCTTGCCATTTGTGACAATACGGATGGACCATGAGGGCATTATGTTAGCTGAAATAAGTCAGACAGAGAAAGACACACTGTATCATCTCACGCATATGTATATTCTGAAAAACCAAAACCAAAACCAAAAAACCCAAGCTCACAGATAGAGAACAAATTGGTGGTTGCCGGATGCAGAGGGTAGGGAATGGGTGAAATGGATGAAGGCGGTCCAAAAGTGCAAACTTCTAGTTATACGATCATCAGTCACGAGGACACAGTGTACAGCATGGTGACTATAGTTATTAACACTGACTGCACTGCATATCTGAAAGTTGCTGAGAGAGTAGATTTTAAAAGTTTCATCACAAGAAAAAAATTTTATAACTATGCATGGTGACAGATGTTAACTAGACTTATTGTGATCACAGTGCAATATGTATAAATATCAAATCATTATTTTTGTACACCTGAAACTAATGTTACATGTCGATTATACTTCAATAAAAAGATACAGAATATGAAACAGAAAAAATATCAAAGAAGGAAGCATGTATTATAGCTACACTGATAAGGAACTGAAAATCAAGATACTTCATAACAAAATCAATTACTTAGAGGTGCCTTTCTGAGAACATCCTGATTCTTATATAATCATACCATTTTGTGGACTATGCCTGGAGAAGTATGGCTATTGCGGGTAGTAACAATGAGCAAAGATTTTACTGTCACTGGCTTTCATTTGGGTGCTATGTGCTCTGTGTATGCTCTCTTGTTTAAATCCTACAATGGCCCTATCAGTATCTCAAGGGCACAGATAGGGAGAATGTGGCTCAGAAGAAGGTAAGTCACTCACAGGGGGACTGGCAGAGCAAGATTCAAATACAGGATGTCAGCTTATAGAGAGTATGAACTTCTAACCTTTCAAATGGATTGCCATGTTAACAATTAAGAAAAGACAAAGCTAATCATTGAGAAGAGCAACCCAAGGGAGGGCCTCTAGATCCAGTCTCTCAAAATGCATTATGCTATCAGCACCCAAAAGAAAACATGCCCACCCCAGGATTCCCACACATCCTTACCTGGGAGCCCTCCTCGTTGTAGTGCCTGGCGTTCCGGAACATCAGCTTCATGTCTTCTATCATTCCCTCTTCCCCTGCATACTTGTCATTGCGGATGTTATGTTCAATTATTTTCAAATCCATTGGCTCCAATATGATTTTATAATAGTCAGGATAGTCCTTTTTGGATGGTTTAACCATAAAGAGATCACAAAGTCTTCTGCCTGAACCTGGCTCACGAGCTTCAAGAACAACATTGAATAAGATTTTCATTCGCTGCTTTCTTATGTTCTTTTTACTGTGGGGGGGGGTAGAAAAGGGGAGAAATGAGAAGAGGTTCAGTTTTCTTCATACAGGGATGAACATGAAATGAAAAATTAATCGTGGGAAGGTGCTTCATAATGATAATTTATTGATTACATATGCCACAAACACAGTAAACATGCTGGCAGCTATAAGCAAATATAGGAGAATTTCCAAATAGTTAAAACATAGTGACTCTGGCAGGAGCAGCCAATGAACACCAGACAAACCTGTTTAGAATATTTATGAAATGCAATGCTTGAAAAAAAACTTCTCTAACACCCAAAGAAAATGAAATTCTATTATCAGTTGAAATGTTTGTTTTTAAGAACACAGCAAAAATGGAATAAAATTACTGATTCCCTGTTACTAACAGTCCTCACTTCAAAAAACTAAAACCAAACACACACAAAGAGAATGTGCCATCTCTTAAGACAACCACTCTGAACACCTGCATATCCTGGTTACCAGGAAACAATGGGAGGCTATCTGCAAGACTAGAGTCTCTATAGTGGGTATAAGTCTCTCCGACATTTATCTTGTCTAGGTCAGTCCCTGCTTCCTCCAGCTCCATGGGCATTATTCCAACATCCCAACCTAGCTTAAGGAATAAATGCTCTGTGGTTCACCTGAGCTCTTAAATAATTTTCATCCTTGAATGTGAGTCCCTGTTTTGTTCTCCAAACACTCCCAGTGAGATGTGACACTAAGCAACAGATGTGCGTGGTGTGGAACCAAGTCAAGGGACCACAGATCAGAGCCCAAGTTAAAAGGGAGCCCAAGAGAACAGATAGGCTGTCTGCTATTTGTTGAGGAAACTGGCTCAGAAAGGATAAATGACTTGCCAAGGTGAGTTGTCCAGTGAATTATTAGAAGAGATGACCTTCCAGCATGATTTCTGGCCCACTATTTGTATGTTTTCAGGACAATGATAAATTCTAACCAGACTCAAGCCAGCAGTCTCCAGATGAACACTCAGGTAGGTAATAAAAAGAAATAATTTATGACTTAATTTCTATTCAATAAACACTGATAATGTCATATAATGTAGTACTTAGAGATAAATATTTATCTGTTTCCTGTCTTATAAATGGAAGGAAGTTCATTTCTGAAGCAAACAATGTGGCTGAATGGGTCTCCTCAAAATGGGTCTCCTAGTCCAGAAGACTCACTCTACTGCTGGATCATAAAGAGGCCAAAGGCCAGATATTTTCTCTCCAAAGTTCAAAATATGCTTTTTTAAAAAAAGAAACAAAACCCCAATAAAGAATTAACAGACAAGAAAAGAAATATCTATCTTTAAGTCAAGCTTTTAAAATGTGTCAGAAATGCCTATCTTCCAAGCATGGTGGAGCTAAGACAGCCTGAAAGTGGTCAGTTAGGAGGGAAAAAGGACCTCCGTTTCCTGTGCCTTCACTCAGACTGCTCATTTCCCTTGGGTAATCTTGAGTGGCTCCAGGATCATTTCTGCCATTTTCTCCTCTTAGTATTTTTGTGTCTCTATGTCAAGTAAGTAATTGTTAGATATGTTAGGAGAAGTTTCATTCAGTGGGAACAATTTCCCCAAAGAGGTATCTGGTTGCACTGGTGTGACAGCAAGAGTCCTCTCAGTCCAGGACTCGGTGGGTGGATAATGGAAGGGGAACCTGGAACAGAGCTCCAAACCACAGAGCTCCACATGCAGGCAGAGATTAGAACACAGATGACATTAACCTTCAGGAAGCCTCTAAAGAAAAATTTCTGAATCTGAATTTGACATCACAGAAATCTATGCTTAAAACTACTAAAGATAGTTATAGTTTCTTTAGATCTCACTTGTGGGGGGTCAAACTACAAAACGAAAACTCAGAAATCCCATTGTGAACCTGTGAGCTTAAAAAAATCTCTCCAATAATCAACTCAAAATCCAGGAATATCACACAGAACAATTCAAGGTTTCTTTCTTGGTCCAGGTAAGCTCTCCTCCCTTTCTAGTTCCAGTATATCACCCCCAATCATCACTGGACTTTTCTGTATGAAGCTACAAATACTCTACAAATCTGAGAGTGGGTCTAGGGCAGATTTTTAGGAGTTTTTTTAAAGAGGAGGGAAAGTTTTTTTTACTGAATTTTAGGGAAAATGCCAACAAAGTAAAAGAATGGAGAGTGGGAATAGCTCTGACACCAAGCAGCTTTGAATGGGACATATCCAAAATGTGAAATCTGGGGGCTCCTGGGTGGCTCAGTTGGTCAAGTATCTGCCTTCGGCTCAGGTCATGATCCCGAGCTCCAGAGATTGAGCCCCGCATTGGGCTCCCTACTCAGCGGAGTCTGCTTCTCCCTCTGCCCCTCCCCATGCTTGTGATTTCTCTCTCTCCAATAAATAAAATTTTTAAAAAATGTGAAATCTGAATTTATTTAAGAGGCTGCTCTAATAACTGAAATGTATTGTTTTAGGACTTTTATTACCAATAGCATCCTCTCCCCATTTGTATCATTCGTTCACTCTTTAAGAGTGATGTGTAACTGGTTTCCATCCTCAAAGGCAAGCAAAACTTGTGTTGTTAGGGTCACGTACAACCTTCTCTGAACTGGGTAAACCCAGTTTTGTTATTTTGTTGACATCTTTCCTGATCCCTATATTGCCTTTGACATTGAGAACTACTGGCCCATTAGTTTTAATCTGGCTATCAGAAAAAACTGAGTTAAATTTCACTCTTCCATAACAACTATATTAGCTTGGGTGGTTGGTGTTTTTGCTCTATCTTTGTCCAATATGGATGCCAAACTTTATTACGTGTGACTTTTGAAAGCAACTTCAAATACTTTCTGAAATGAGGTAAGAATTACAAAAAGACAGAAACCATATTCCCCTAACTGGTACTTTCTGTTTACTGTTTTCAATGTCACTTTGCTTTTCAGATTCTTTTTAGAACCCCTCTATGTATCTTACCTGTCCTCCTCTCCCACACCACTAACTGTACATAGTTTGTTTACTCCTCCCCATTTTGGAAAAAGTACATTAATCTCAGACCTTGTAACTGGCATACTCACTCTTCTTTTTTTAATCAGCACCTTTAAACATACTGAAGTAAAATATATGTTAAGGGATTTCAAAACCAGGGCTGTTTAACTTTGTGCACTTATGGGTGCCACACTTAAGGGGACACCAATTTAGATAATAGACATTATCTAAATAATAAATTATAATAAATATGCAGCTCTAGAATTTTACAGGAGATGGGCCATGAAGGGTTCTGTCCTAACAAAATCATTATAGCGATTTTCCAACAAATCAAAGTGTCTTGAGAAATGGGTGCTTTTTCTAACTTGCACAAAGATGAGAAGCTACAAGAGGCTCTGTTCTGAATCTGATTTTCCAGGGCCAGCACTACCACCATCCTCCTGACTCCCAACCCAGCTTGAAACACTGCAATCACTGTCACTTTTTGCTTCTCTTAGTTTATCACCAAGTTTTAGAGGAACCTCCAAAGCCCTTCTGGATCTGATCTTTCCTTACAATTTTTCATGCCACAGTGTTAGTCCTCACCCTCATACTTTGTGGCTGACTATATTCTCAAATGTCCTTAACATTATACTTCCTCTGAAGCTATTATTTATTATTATGTGTATTCACGTTTGCATATATACACACAAAATTTCCCATTTACGGTTATAGCTAACACTTCTACCACGTGCCAGGGGCTGTACTAGTAAAGCACTATATGTGTGACGTCATTTAATCCTCAAACTCTAAGAACCAGGTACACTTACTATCCCAACTTTGCAGTTGGAAAACTGGAGGATTACAAGGGTCAAGCAAATACTTAAGGTCATAAAGTGAGCAATCAGAACTAAGACTTGCATCAGCTGATAATCACCAGGCTGCTTTTATGATGTCCCTCCCTTTCCCAAAAGTCAGCACTTACCAGGGCCTCTCTACCCTGTTCATAGGCTCCCAGGTCTCCCAGCATTTAACACCCTGATTCTAGAGTTTCAGTGGTGTCTGCTGTTAAGCTAAGTAAACCCAAAGGTTCTCTCCTTTACCAGGCTGGCTACATTCACTGCATCTTCAACTCTTCAAGGAATAAAACCTTTTAATAAATAATAAACCTTTTCTAAAGAGTTTCCCAGACTAGTAACAGAAGACTAAAAACAAAATGAAATCTACCGAGCCTTGATGTCAACAGGAACTACTTCCAGAAAATAATCAAGTTGGATTTTGAGTACTAACTGTACCTAGGCCCAGTTCTAAGGGCTTTAAAAACATCAACCACCCAGGTCCTCACGATGATCTTATGTAGGTATAGTTATCGACTCTTTTTTCAGATGAGGAAATTGAGGTGAGGCTCAAATCACAGAGCTAATTAGAATAACTAGGATTTGAACTTGGGCAGTTAGGTTCTAAGAGCCTGGGGTTATAATACTACTCCAGATGCCCCACATTTCTATTTCTACTATTACTGAGAGTTAGTACCGTACACACTATGAACGATGTAAGAGAAATATAACCCATGGTCTTTTTCTTAAATTCATGATCTAAGAAAATCTTTCTTAAGGAAAATATTAGGAAGAAGATAACTGATAACACAGTAATTTTGTAGAGTGGACTGCATATGGGAGAAACATGCAGATAACTTTATTAACATCTAACTTGCAAAGAAAAGCATGATAGGGAAATCACATTTCCTGGAGCTCTTTGGGCAGTCATGTATGTAGTTCCATAAAACTATACAACTGTGTACCTTGTGCAATTATTCTATGACACTGCTCCCACATAATTTCATTTGTTTTCAACCTGCCTTTCTTCCTGGCCAGTAAGTTCCTGGCACGTGGAGGTGATGCCTAAACATTTTCCTTTATGGCCTGTAAGAGTGGAGTCTGGTGTTCCGCAAGCAATTGACACTCCATGAACGCCAGAAGGCTAAGGTGAAAATAAAAGCACCACACAACGATGACTAGGACTATAACATGGCAACTCATAGGCTCTTTTAAAAATCATAAGGGACATGCAAAAGAATGGATGCTTTCAAAGAAATAAAACATGGGCAAGATCAGAGACTGACAAAACGTATTCATGCTCGAGAAGTGCTAACCCAATGCACAGGTGCCAACTCAGGCTGATATCACCTGGACTTCAACATTGGTTTTGATCCCTCCACCACCCCCCAGTGTGTAAAAGACATCCTTGAAAGGGCACCAGTGTCTGCCAGCCTCTGGGCGCTGCTGATGCCATCATATTCTCAGCCTCTACCTTCTGTTGCACAAGCACAACCACAGTGACCGGTGAGAGGGCTTGTGGCCGCTGGCAAAGCTAGCAACAAATTTAAGGCTTCAGAACATATTGAGGCGAACTAATTCTGAATTTATTCTACCAGCTATACTTCTAAACTATACTACTTTCTTTATTCATAAAAACAACTGGCACCCAAATGAAAACTTATTTCACATGCTTAAGACTTCACTTTTCACCTAATCAGTACTGACCATGCCATAGAAGTTATACTTTTAAAAATATGTTTATGCATAAAAAAGGACTGCACACCTGGAGAGCCTCCTGAGACCCAACATCTCACTGTCAAGAGTGTTCCTGGGAAAGCAGAAACAAACATTACATGTGAAGAGAAACAAAACAAGCAACATTGGAGGGTCATGTACAAACCAAATACGGTTGAGAAAAAAGAGGATTATTCAATCCAAAAGATAAAAGATATTAAGAATACTTGGAACATTTTAACATGGATGACAGCAGGTAGACTTTTGGGCAAAGGGGTGGGGGAGAAGAATGCACTCCCGGAATGAAGATAACATACATTAATATTTTTCACACTCTTTGATATTAAAAAAATAAGGCAAAGATAGAATCATACACAATATTTAGGAGTTAAGTGGTACTTGAAAAACCTGGCCCTGACTTCACCGGGCAAGCTGAATTTAACCTACCAGGCAGCTGTATTTGCCTGAATTCCGGAAAAGTCTATTTCTCGCTAGCAAAACCTAACATAACGAGCTACCTTCTAAAAGGCTCGTTAATGTTTCTTTCTTTGCCACACAGTTCAAAGCATAGATAGGACATGCTTCTCTCAACCTCTTAATGTCCACTCATGCCTGTATTTCAAAACCAGGTATGTTCTTTTATTGCTTTAGCTAGGATTTAAATTTGTTCTTCTCTTATTTGTGTTTTTCACTTTATTATTCAAAACACTTCCTAGGAAACCTGTTCACAGAGACGTTTTATCTGAAGTAGGATTTTATGATTTCAACAATACTTAGTTTTCTTTTTGCGGGAGGTTTTAGAGTAATAACTTTCCTGTGATTTACCTGGGTTGCCCCACCAACTACAAGCCACAGAGACAGAGAGGTCATTAAGGATCTGGCCTGGGTTAATGCTTCCTCAGAACTGTTATAAGGCTCAACTAGTTTCAGATCTCTCTTTCCATTCAGTGTTGGCACTAACTGTACCATCACTTTTGCCTCCATTACCTTCTTTTGTCTTAGAAGTTTTTATCTTTGATGGGTGACTGATCTGGAAAACACAGGTGATGCTGTAGTAGAGTTATATAATTACACTCAAAGATGTCCTTGATTTGATGTCTCTGATCTGGTTTCACATTTTTCTCCGTTGTCCCTGGTATAACAAGGAATTAAGAACTTGGAAGGATGAAATTCATAGGCCAGTAATGGAGGAGACTCACATCTCAGGGTATACCAATCAATTTAGTTACCATGGCATAGCACAGCAGTTACTCTCAAAACTAAAAAATTTTTCCCAAATGCTATTTATAAGAGGAAAAGATAGGGCAGCTTCTCTTTTGTAAACCACTTTTTTAAATCCTCTGATCTTAGTGGATCTATTAATGCATGAACAAAGCAGTGTCAACAGTTACTAGTGACTCCTTCATTCAACTCTGGATCTGCGCCCGCTACTAGTGATTAGCTTATTTCTTGTTTAAGGCATTCTCCCTGGAGCAACCAATGCTACAAAGATGGTGAGACAGTTAAGGCTGAGGGAGAATATGGTGTTCCACAAAGATCGAGCCAGAGAAACTCTGTGTGGGAGGAGTAGACAAAAGAGATGTTCTTGCAGGATTCTTTATAGGAGTCGAGCTTCAGAGTCTTACAGTGAGGTGCCCTTCCACAGAACCCATGAGAGAAAGGAAGGGTGAGTGAAGTTGGGAGAAAGATTAGAAAGAGAGAAAAACCAAACATCTAGCTTAGCATTTTATGAACTACAAGAAGCTATGACGTGGTTGTCTGCAATCTGACATCCTTAAAATGGCAAATAAAGATCAGATTAATAAGGAAAAACAAAGACACAGGAGTATCAGCAGCTGACTTCACTGCAGTGATAGTACTGAAATGTTTTGCAATTCACCACGTAGAAATTACCGAAATTAGATTTAAGTGGCACTACTGAAATGCCACATGAAAGCAAAATGGCCCAGACGGCCAACAGAGTAAGATGCTTTGCCGAGCCCCATAAGTAGCTGTCACTTTCATCCATGTGGTCTACAGCCATTATGGCACTTGCACCAACAGCAGTGCTGATCATACCACTCACAAATGAATTCTAACAGAAGATCTGTTAGCAAATAATTAGAGCTTATAAGAGAATTCATACCTGACAGCTTAAAAACACATTTTTCCTGCACTTATCAAAAACAAAATAATAGCGCTGTCTCCTTCTAGGAGAAGAATACGTACCTTTTTCTTTTGGCACTACCAGCATCAGAGGTGGCTGAAGAAATCATGCTGTCTCCATCCTCAATGTCATCCCTCCTGGCAAGCTCCTTCTTCTTTGCCTGAAACAGAGCATACCCTGGAGTGAAGCTCATCCTGCTGAATGCTCCTAGAATATATGAATATTAAAGAGCCAGACATATCAGATTCTCTTAGAAAAATGCAACATGTAAGATGCACAAAATTAAAGGGTCAGTAAACATTTTCAATAACCCAGTTTAACAAAAGCTTGCATGACCTACAGAAAAGTAGGTTAAAAACTGGATCCAGAGAGTTAAGGAATCAACACTAGCTCAACTGCAAGACTACAACGGCACCAGCTTGTTGAAAGCGCTGAGGCAAGTTGTAGGGGTGTCCTGCCATTTTTAGGTGAAGCCAACTAAAGACAGTCTTTGGTACCCTCGACTTCTTCAGCGATGGTGTGGCGAAGAAGAAAGTTTAATGCGAGAGGTGAAAAGAAGATCTACTTTCAACACATGCATTTTTAAAGACCTTCTGCCAAACAGCTGAAAGTCCAACCATTACGGACTTAGGGAACGCATGCACAGTGCTGAAAGGCAATACGAGAAATGTGCAGCACCGATGTCAGGATCGACTACACAGAGTGAAGATTCTCCAGGGTTATTTAAAATTGCTTCTGTTGCTTCCTTGCTCTGAGATTCTCTTTCCAGAAAGATTCTACCCAAAACTGACAGACACAATTTGTATTTCATATCTATGACTTTCTTCAAAACCACTAGATCACCCATGACTCCCAGTGCCCACTAGGACGTGCTCTCAGAAAGGATCTGATAAATTCTTGAACACTGTACAATGATTAATTAGCTTTAAGATGTTCTTTCTCCTAGGACCAATGCTACCTTAACAGACACAAGTCTAGAACCAAAGAAATAAAATCTAAATGATAGAGTATCATCTGTGACTGGAGGGAAACTTCCTGAGGACCCTAAAATGACGCCCCAGGCACAAATCCCTGCTCCTCCACTCACAAAGCTAACCCAGTCTAAATTATTATTTCTACTCTACATGGTCCTGACAACTCTAAAAAAAATACTCAGCAGTACTTGTGGTTGAAATAAATGATGTGATATTGCTGGGAGAAGTCACACATCTTAGAAGTACTCACTCAAAGTCTGTAAAATTATTTCAATTATACATACCACAGCTAAGCAAATCCCAGGAATCATACCTGCATGACCTGCTGCAATTTCAGAACTCGCTTGTAGATGGCTGAATTGGGAACATTATAGCGTTTGGCATTTTCAAACATTAAATTCAGATCACACTCCAAATGATCCAAAGTTTCATATTCTTGGTTCTTTAGCTTTGTTCTGTGAAAGACAAACACATGACTACAATTTACCTTTATGAAAATGATGAAACACCCTTACTGAAAGTCCAGTACAAAAATCCTAACAAGCACTAGCTGACCTCTTTACTTGTGATACTGATGAGAAGCCCAGAAGGGGCACCTTCAAGATAGAAAGGAGGCAAAAGCACCACTGTATTTAGGCAGTATGACAGTCTACCTGAAAATCCAGAAGAACAAAACACTATAAGAAGTAATAAGAGGACCTAGGGTGCCAAGGTGGTCAATTACAAAGCAAATATATTAGCAACAACCCTAATGGAAAACCTCTGTTAGTTAGGTTAACATGCAAACCCCAGAAAGAGAAAAAAAAAAAAAATCGGGGAGGTTTTAAGATACCTTAATGAAGAACAATGGTGATCTAGCCTCTTCATGAAGGTTAATGAAAAGAGAATGTACTCACAATACCATGAAAGGGGATATATATATATGTATAACGAAGAGGTCTTAAGATGGTAAATGAGAGGCAGATATGTCAGAGTCCATTCACTACTTTTCTTCTAATACAAACATTTGTAACTAATTATGATGGCTTAAAATTGATATTACTTATTTTGCTTAAAAGTGTTAAGAATTCTGGTATCTTTTAGACACTATGGCTATTGCTAATACCAACTCTCATAAAGTCCCTTATATATTTTACTTTAAAGATTTATTTATTTATTATTTTAAAGAGAGAGAGAGACAGAGCATGAGCAGGAGGGGCAGAGTGAGAGAGAATCTCAAGCAGACTCTGCACTGAGTGTAGAGCCCAATGTGGGGCTCAATCCCAAGACCCTGAGATCACAATCTGAGCCAAAACCAAAAGTCAGATGCTTAACCAACTGTGCCACTCAGGCATCCCCATATTTTTAAAAAAATATTTATTTATTTGAGAGAGAGAGTGCATGCATGGGGAGAAGGGCAGAGGGAGAGAGAGACGCTCAAGCAGACTCCCAGCTGAATGGGGAGCCTGACGCAGGGCTTGATCCCACAACCCTGGGATCATGACCTGAGCTGAAATCAAGAGTCGGATGCCTAACCAACTGAGCCACTCAGGTACCCCATGTCCCTTATACATTTTACACAAAGTGAAAAGTCACAGTGGGCCCTAACTCTGTATGCACATAGTATAGACTTTTAAATCTTTTGACTGAAGCACTTGCACACTATATGCAGATTCCACGAACTGCTTAAAAAGATACGAACAATTAGAAAACATCTCGGGAGTGAAGCAAACAACTACGCACAAACTCAGCTCTCAGTACCAGCCTACGTGGCTAGCCCCTAGAATTTAAATTATAGACTCAGACTTATTCCTGCCAACTCTAAGAGTAATGTGCTGAGTATTCTCAATACCCACAAAGAACAGATGTGGAACTCGAACTTGTAAATGACAATCTATAATAAATCTGCAGGTATTTATGAGACTGATGTTCATCAAAATTAGAGGGGGGCAGGATAGGCACAATGGGAAATAAAAGATGGGGATGACAAGCCCCAGCACAGTGGAAGGTGACATATGAAGCCACACTGTCTAGCTCCTGCCCACTCCTTCATTTTTTTTTTTTTTTTTAAAGATTTTATTTATTTATTTGACAGAAAGAGACAGCGAGAGAGGGAACACAAGCAGGGGGAGTGGGAGAGGGAGAAGCAGGCTTCCCGTTGAGCAGGGAGCCCGATGCGGGGCTCGATCCCAGGACCCTGGGATCATGACCTGAGCCGAAGGCAGACGCTTAATGGCTGAGCCACCCAGGCGCCCCGCCCTTTTTTTTAATGATTTATTTTATAGAAAGCAAGAGAGAGCATGTGTGCGTGGAACAGAGGGGCAGAGAGACAGAGAGTCCTAACCAGACTCCTCGCTGAGTGTGGAGCCTGAGGTGGGGCTTGATCCCAGCAGTATGAGATCATGACCTGAGCTGAAACCAAGAATAGGATGCTTAACTGACTGTGCCACCCAGGCACCCCTATTTTTGTTGCTTTTGATGACACTCAACTATCATCCTTCTGCCAACAAATCTCCCTAGGACTGTGCTATAAAATACATTAGCCACTAGCCACATGTGGCTATATAAAATTTAAAATCTAGTTCCTTAGTCGCACCAGCCACATTTCAAGAGCTCAATAGTCACATGTGACTAGTGGCTACCATATTGGACGGGGCAGAGAAAACAACATTTCCATCATCATAGAAAGTTCTATGTGGTCAGCACTGCTGTAGATTTCCGTGTTGTTCTGATGTAGAAGCAATGGAAGGTAGCCCAGCTCCTGTCAGGCACCACTGGCCATGTGTCCTTGGAAAGGAGGTAGATTAGCCATGCTAAGAGCTGACCCTTCAGAACTCTAGTGTGCTACCAGCTAGGCCTCAGCCATTTCTCTATTCCTCACACTCCCCTATGTGCTAGACAACTGTCAAGAAGTAAATTTAAAAAGGGGGAAAGGTGCAGAATTCCTGACTTAACCAAGCAAGGTTTCTATTAGGAAATTCTAACTTAGAAGAAGGTTGTAGGCAGGTGATTGAGTTGGCTGAGAATATGTCTTCCTTTACACTAAACTCATTATTTTGACTAAAAAAAAAAAAAAAAAGACTGAGGAAGAAAAGAAACTAAGGACAAAAATTGTTGAGTGAATGGAGCGCTTGGGTGGCTCAATCATTAGGCATCTGCCTTCGGCTCAGGTCATGATTCCAGGTCCTGGGATCCAGCCCCGCATCGGCCTCCCTGCTCCGCGGAAGGCCTGCTTCTCCCTCTCCCACTCCCCCTGCTTATGTTCCCTCTCTCGCTGTCTGTCAAATACATAAAATCTTAAAAAAAAAAAAAAAATTGAGTTAATAGGGAACCTCTCGACATCTAGAAGACTGTCGCTATCTTTTCCAAGACAAAGAGTATAAAAGACAAATTTCTAGGCTATTTTCTTAATGAGTGGCAGCTTTAATTTCCATGTTACTTTAAGAGGATCAAATAAACTGACTTTCTATATCCTATTTGGGTACAAAACCTCCAAAATTTGCATTAAGTAAAAACACCATAAATTTTACTGATCAAATAATGAAAACAGAAGTTATAAATGCAAAACCATGAAACATATGTTGTTAGCAACCTTATTTTCTAGAATCCAGCAAGTATAAGAATTTTAATTCCTACTATTTGAAAGGTTAGTTATCTGTCCTGATAAATACCAGCTTCTTCTGATTTTGCCCAGTTAAGATATATTTTTACCTTGTTGCCTCTATCTGGGTATACAGTAGAACCTAACCTGCACCGTGAGAGTTACGATATTACTTATTTCCTATTATTATTATTATTATTTTTAAAGATTTTATTTATTTATTTGACAGAGAGAGAGAGACAGCGAGAGAGGGAACACAAGCAGGGAGAGCGGGAGAGGGAGAAGCAGGCTTCCCGCTGAGCAGGGAGCCCAATGTGGGCCTCGATCCCAGGACCCTGGGATCATGACCTGAGCCGAAGGCATACGCTTAACGACTGAGCCATCCAGGCACCCCTATTTCCTATTATTTTTAATGACGATGCAGTGGTTTCAGTATTCTGTCTGAATTCCCAATGTTTATTTGTTTTTGTTTATTTATGTATTTATGTATGTATGTATGTACTTAAAGTAGGCTCCATGCTCAATGTGGGGCTTGAACTCACGACCCTGAGATCAAGAGTCGCATTGCTCTGCTGACTGAGCCAGGCAACCCCCAATGATTGTTTTAAACAGAATGGGGAAACCAAGATGAACCATCTTTCAAGTACTGTTTCAGCTAATGAATTCTCTAAGAGCTGCCTATGCTTATTCTGGGGATTCAACTTTAGATACAAAATTTAAATAGAATTAAACTGTTGTAATTAAAATGTCAATAGGAAGTATAAGCAGAAAGATTTTTGTGCTTTGCTCAGCTGTAAGAAAATGAACAGTTAAGTTTTGAGCTGCATGACTCTTTATAGTCTATAATCTGACACACAAAATGCCTAGCGGGAATACCTTTTATTTGCCTTGACTCTATTACAGTACAAATAATATCATTTGCATTTAATCGAATTTATTTCTCACTTTTCACATAGGAGTGATATGCAAGACATACTCTAGACATGTGAAAACATTTTTACCTTTAATATCCTTATCCATTTTAGCAAGGAGATATATGTGCAGGATCAACCACAAGAAAATGGATTTCTATTGAGTAATGTATAAGGCAGCTTACCTGATCTGTTGTAGGGATATGGGCATTTTAATTTGCTGATAATAATCAGGGTATTTTTTCTTTGAAGGCAAATGGAAAAAAGGTTCAGCTATTAGCTGCCCTTGGTTATTCCGACAACTTCTAACTGTGTCATAAAGCTGATAAAAAGGATTTGAAACATCCATAAATGAAGTAATGCTCTCTGCTTCCGACTCTCCTTCTTCATAACGTGCCGCTAAAAAAAGACAAAAAAGGTATCAGAAGGGGAAGAACGAACCATACTTTAAAGCTCTTTTAACGACTTCCAAAGTAAGCTTCGTATGTTTCAAAGTACTTATTTTAAGAGTTTCCATCCCTCATTAAAGATGCTGTTAGTGCTTAATATAATTGTATATTTACTTAGAGAAATGTTACATAGAAACAAAGTGTTACATAGAAAACACTATGCTGTTTATTAAAAGTTACAAAATAGGTTCTCTTTTTAAATGTGCCTTCTTTAGAGACTCTGCTATATGTGTTTGGCCAGGAAAAGGATAAAGTAGCCATACACAGATCTCAGAACTAAAGCAGCAGCATGTAGTTTAGGGTATTATAAATGTATACTGATACCAGGTTGATACTGGTAGATCTGGTTTTGCTTTGAGTCTCTGTGATTTTGCCCCACTGATCTACAGCATCTTTCAAGAATGATCTGTTCCCTTGAGAGAATTTTTAGGTAGAAGCTAATCATAAAAACACCAAAACAAAATGTAATCATTTTTATAGAAAAACAAAATACATTCTTCATTTCCCTAAATTCTTCAACAGTGTATAATGACCATAATTTAAGTTTTTCTTGATGGATCTGTATAATCAAAATCACTACTGCTCATGGGTAAGAATGACAATCACTTAGTAAGTACTTACAGTGTTAAGAGACGGACAGGCACAACTCAGGAGAGTTGTGAGAGGATTTGGATCTAGTCATGGAGCCAGAAGTAGAGCAGATCTGAAACTAGTTTTCTCTGACCCTACTACTGCTGATCTTCTCCATAAAGAGCTTGCACATACTTAGTTGGATTTATACCTAGGTATGTTTTGTTGATACTGTAAACTGTATCTTTTAAAAAAAAATTGTATTTTCTTTTTGTGGCTGATTCCAGAAATCAAACAGATTTTTGTATAATGATCTCATATTTAGCATCTTATTATTATTAATTCCAATAATTTACCTGTACAGTCTTTTGAGTAAAAAAACTCAAAAAACAATCTTTCAACTGCAATCCTTATAAATCTTCTTTTCTGATTCTTACTCCTTCATTGTTGTCACTGTCAGCTGGCTAGTATTTTGACCAAAAGAGGTAACAACATTTTAACTTATGGTAAAGGGAATGCTACAAGTATTTCTCCACTAAAAACAAGTGCTCTTTATCAAGTTAGGAAAGATCCCCTTCTATTCCTAATTTGTTTTCATCATGAATGGGAATTGAAGCATTCATCAAATGCATATGCTGAGCCAATATTACAGCTTTATTCTTTGAAAGCATTAACACAGTGAATGATACTTCAACTTTTTCTAATGCTGAAGTGACCTAGTATTCCTGGAGTAACCCAACTGTGTTATCATGCATTATCGTTTATATATGCTGCTAGATACAGTGTGCTTATTTTTGTTGAGTTTGGGTATCTAGGTTCTATCATTTTGATAGAATGAACTAAGGAGCTCTTTTTCTATTCTCTGCAGTAGTTTGTATATAATTCTGTTCCTTGAATGTTTGGCCTGGTGTTTTCTATGGGGAAAGATTTGTAACTAATAATTTCTTTAATGGTGGTAAGACTAATCAGTCTTTTTATTCGTTTTTTTTTTTTAAAGATTTTATTTATTTGACAGCAAGAGAGGGAACACAAGCAGGCGGAGTGGGAGAGGGAGAAGCAGGCTTCCCACTGAGCAGGGAGCCCGATGTGGGGCTCGATCCCAGGACCCTGAGATCATGACCTGAGCTGAAGGCAGACGTTTAACCGACTGAGCCACCCAGGCGCCCCCAGTCTTTTTATTCTTGAATCAATTTTAGGCATTTGTCACTTTCTAGGAATTTGCCCATTTCATCTAAATGTTCAGATTTGTTAGCATAAAGCTGTTCATACATTCTTTTTCATCTGTATGCTCCCTCTTTCCCCTAGTATGTTTTATTTGTGCCTTGTTTCTTTCCTAATAATCTCACCACAGATTTGCCTATTAATAGTTTTAACAGAAAAACTTTGACTTTACTGATCTTTTCTACCATAGGTTTCCTTTCTAACAAATTCATTTGTGCTCTTAGCTTTTTTCTTACCTTTTCTTCTAATGTCTCTGCTTTTATTCTCTTATTTACTTATTTTGGATGCTTATTATTAGTTCATTACTTTTTTTTTTTTTTTAATTCATTTGAGAGAATGAGAATGAGAGAGATCACAGAGGGAGAGGGAGACGCAGACTCGCTGCTGAGCAGAGAGCCTGACGCGGGGCTTGATCCCAGGATCCTGAGATCATGACCTGAACTGAAGGCAGACGCTTAACCAACTGAGCCACCCAGGTGCCCCTAGTTCATTGATTTTCAGCTGCTTTTTTTTCTTAAAGATTTTATTTATTTATTTTGACAGAGAGAGAAAGAGCGAGAGAGGGAACACGAGCAGGGGGAATGGAAGAGGGAGAAGGAGGCTTCCTGCTGAGCAGGGAGCCCGATGCGGGGCTCAATTCCAGGATCCTGGGATCATCACCTGAGCCAAAGGCAGACGCTTAATGACTGAGCCACCCAGGCACCCCTTTCAGCTGCTTTTCTAAATAGACATTCAGACCTGTAACTTTCCCTCCAAAGTACAGCTTTAGCTTCGTCCCCACTGTTTTGATATATATTATTTTCATTATTGCTATTGTTCAATCTCAGGTAATTGAATTTCCATTATAATTTTTCCTTTTTAAAAAGAGAAACCCAAACATTTGAAGACTTTTGCATTTCCTGAGTGTTTGCGTTTTTAACTTTCACCTTTTCAAGATTAGGTGCTTATCATGGCTGCATTATGGTCAGAAATATGTCTATAAAATACCCAACTTTCAAACCGGTTGAAATTTGTTTCATGGCTAAGTACATGATCAATTTTTGTGATTGTTCCACAAGAATCAGAGAAGAACATGTATTTTCTAGCTGCAGAATACTTGCCTAATTATATCCATCTTGTTGTGTTAACTGAATAGCCCCCCTTAATATATCCAAGTCCTAATCCATAGAACCTATGAATATTTATTACCTTATAGGGCAAAAGAGACTTTGCAGATATGATTAAGTTAAGGATCCTGAACTTGGCAGATTATCCTGGATTAAACTCTAAGCACTAACTGTAATTGCAAGGGTCCTTATAAGAGGCAGGCAAGGTCAAAGGAGAAAAGGAGATGAGATGATAGATACAGAGATTGTGAGTGCTGCATTCTGACTAGAGAGGAAGGAGCCATGAGCCAAGGCATACAGGTAGCTTCTAGAAATTAGAAAAGGAGAGGAAACATTTTATCCCCTAGAGCCTCCAGAGGAACACTGGCCTGCCAACAACTTGCTTTTCGACTTCTGACCTCCAGAATCAAAGAGAATACATTTGTGTTGTTTTAAGCCACTAAGTTTATGGTAATTTGTTTTTGCAGCAATAGGAAACAAATACACTTGTGAGAAATAAACATTGTGTACTCAAATCATCTCTGTCTTCACTGGTTTTCTGGCTGCCTACCTAGCAATGGAAAGCAGTGAACTCCCACTCTAGGGCAGTGTTTTCACTTTCTCTGCCACCTTCTATTTGCTTGTTTTACATATTTTGAGCTTTTTAAATAATTTATCTTCCTGATGAAATAAACCTTTTATCATTATGAGGTGAATCCTTTTTATCCTTGGTACTGCTTTTTGTTTGAAAGTCCATTTTATCAGAAGTCAATGTAACTACCGTTTGGTTATTATTTGCCCCGTGTATCTTTTTCTATCCTTTTACATTAAACTTTCCTCTATTTCTACATTTTAGATGTGTCTCTTGCAATCAGCATACAACCTGATTTTTTTAAAAAATCTAATCTAAAACTGTTATAGTTGGCAAATTTGGGTCATCAACACTGATGTGATTTCTGATATAATTTTTGGAGTTGTTTCTCCCATCTTTATGCTTTCCATTTGTCTCACTTTTTCTGTTTCTTTTTGCCTTCCTATCTTATTTTATTTTTGTGGGGGAGGACTGAAAGGTTGATCTGTTTTTCTGATTCTATTCCCCACCCCATTTCTGTTCTTAGAGTTACTGCAAGTGGGCGCTCTTCTCTACCTGCCCTAGGCTGCACAGTATGGTTTGTCTCTAAAACAAATCACCTCAAGAAGACAGGCCACACTTTCTGGATTCTTATGCCTTCTTTCCATGGGCTTTTTCTTGTTGCTCCAAGACCATCAGTTATCCTTTCTTTGCTATTTTCACTGTACCCTATCCCCTAAGTTGTTTCCAGCAGCAGGAAGTAGAAACCAAACAGATTAGAATCTTGCCTAAATCAAGGATAAACAGCTATGCAGAAGAGCCTGAAAGATCTACTACATACAAAGTTGATTGGCATCTACTTTGTTTTAATAGCTAAGGTTACTAAATAAGAACCCTCTTGTGACAAAGGTACTATTTGTTAGGGGGGAAAAAAAAGCAATAAATACTTTTTAGGTGGGTTTTCCTTCAATTTGTTATGCTACTTATAAGGTTAATAAAGTAACCAAATGTTAGAAGGAAACCTAAACATGTGTGTCACTTTTATAACCAGCAAAAAACAAAGCTAATAAAAACAAATTTTCCTTCAATTTTTGATAACACCAGACCTAAGTTAAAAAAAAAAAAGTTTTGTAGATGAGTGTCAAAAAAATTAAATTTATACTCTTAATAAGTAGTCTACAGTAATTATGAAACTTCTATAAATTTAATAGAAAATAAGACACAGGTGGAAAAATCTGTCCTCCTACTTGATTATGAAATCAGACAATATGCCAGAGTAATTTCATGAAACAAATTTTATCTGTACATATAAACATTATCTGTAGTAAAATAAAGAACATTATATCACACTGCAGAGAAAGACAATGAAATCAAACATACCTCTACAGCTGTTCTTCGCTATTTAACAGATAGTATACTTTTACGTGGATTTTATTGCCCAATGCCCTTTGTTGGACTTGTTTAAACGACAATTGACTATGCTGCTCTGATTGTAATTTACATCTATTTTTTTTTTTTTTTTTTAACATCTATCTTTAAATCAGAAGCTCTGGCCAAGAAGAAATTATAGCCTACTGAAAATATAAGCCAGTAGCCTGGAAATCTAAGATGGTATGAATGTCTCCATTGGGTTTCCCAATGGCATCACTAGTACTCATTCACTATTTATCATTATACGCTTGAAAACAGGATCTGCTAAGGCTAGCAAACCAACTGTTTTTATAGAAGTATTTATTTACTTAGATACAAGCTGTAACATAAAATAAGGTTTTGATAAGTCTGCCAACCAAAGAGTGCAAACAAAACAGCATGTACTCCAAAAATGGACGAACTCCCAGCCAGACCAAAGTTACTTTAATCTTCCTTCACTGCAAGATCCACTGAGAAGGCATTAACTAGTCACAACTTAATGCCTACCAGCTAAGGCAGCATCCTCTTCACTTTCTGAGCCATACTGAAGTGCCATGGTAATTGCTGACAAACGACCCCCTTGGACTGTTCTTTTATTACTACAAAGAAAAACAAGCAATCAGAAGACAAGGAAAGAGGTTATAATCATTTGGTTACTTTACACGGAACAGGAACTGTTAACAAAGCATTCACATCAAAGAAAAAGAATTTCTATTCAACTGTTTGTGATCAATTTATCTTTGTACATTTTTTAGTCCCCATAATCAATCTTAGCCAAGACCAATTTTTTTTTTCTCTCAAAAAAGAGGGAATGGTGTAGAAAGCCTAAAATAGGCTACTTGCAATTGTGTGTTACTTAAATGCAGCACTACTCCTTATTTTATAAAAAATAAAGATTCATTCATTACTGGTTAATTCTCTTCTAAGATGTTCATATTCTACAACGAACACAAATTCTATTTTGAATACAAAATCTTTTAGTATTTGACCACAATTTATTTTACTGGAAATATTAAACACTACCTGACAAATAACTTCTGCTTCAGCATTTTCCAGAAGTCAGGTCAGGCCTACTATAGGACCTCAACCTTTTAACATAATAACCCAATCATACCCCAAAGAATTACTTCATGATAGCCATCAGGGAAAACACTAGTAAGCCTAGCATCATAAACAAGGTCAGTTCTCAGACTAAACACACTCACTCTCTCACCGGTAATACTTGCTAGTGGGATTTCTCTCTTCACCAAGGCTGCCTTTACTGTGTGAAGGACCTGTCAGCCTGGCTGTAGCCAAATTTGATGGAGTCCTATCCAGAAATAAGATAAAAAGAAACTCAGAAAATTGAGAGCTGAAATCAGAATGGTGGGTAAACAAAAAGGAAGCAACCATCTTTTGTTGTTGTTTTTTTCTAAGTAGAAACGCTCATATATTTCTGAGCCATTACTATATAGCAGGCTTTGCTTCAAAACCTGAGGACTCTGATGAAGAGAATGGGCAAGGGCTGGTCCTGGAGGGCTTATGGTCCCTGCAGTGACCAAGGATCTGGTAATGAAGGAAATGTCAGGGTCAGAGGCTTTGAAAGCAGTCACTCCAGCTTCCATTTCTCGAAGAAGGAAATGGAATCCCAGAAGTCAGACTTGTTCAAAGTCCTAGTCCTTGCACAAGAAAGAGCCCAGATGAGACTTTAGATCTCCTGACATCTGGCTAAATGCTCTCGCTGCTGATATAAATATATACTATCATATTTTACACACAAATATGATATTATGTATATGCTTTTTTTTTAATTTTTATTTATTTGACAGGGAGAGACACAGTGAGAGGGAACACAAGCAGAGGGAGTGGGAGAGGGAGAAGCAGGCTTCCTGCGGAGCAGGGAGCCTGAGGCAGGGCTCGATCCCAGGACCCTGGGACCATGACCTGAGCCGAAGGCAGACGCTTAACGACTGAGCCATCCAGGCGCCCCTGTATATGCTTATGTTATATACACTTATATGTAATATGTGTTACATATAAACATGTATATAGCAATTAGAGCAGATAATAGTGTTTAGCCTCAAAAATCGTTATTTTTTTTTTTTTAAGATTTTATTTGACAGAGAGAGAGCAAGTGAGTACAAGCATGGGAAGCAGGAGGGAGAGGGAGAAGCAGGTTCCCCGCCGAGCAGGGAGCCCGACGTGGGACTCGATCCCTGGACCCTGGGATCATGATCTGAGCCGAAGGCAGACGCTTAACCGACTGAGCCACCCAGGCATCCCCAAAATCATTTGTTTTTAAATAAAGCCTTCCGGCTGCAATGAAGGGCCAAGTAAGAGTTGTATCTATTCTCCTCAGAATCACGTTATCAACTGTAAATATAATTTTCAAATGCAACATACATCCTGTTTTCCATTGCACTGATTCCACCAGCTAGAAAATTTGGCAAATAATAAAGGCACAAGGATTTTAGACATTTTATTATTTTTTATGATTTTATTTATTTGAGAGAGCACGAGCAGGGAGAAGGGCAGAGGGAGAAGCAGGCTCCCTGTTGAGCAGGGGGCCTGATGTAGCACTCGATCTCAGAACCCCGGGATCACAACCCGAGCCAAAGGCAGATGTTTAACTGACTGAGCCACCCAGGAGCCCCGATTATAGACATTTTAAAAACATACCTCATTCGAAGGCTTGACTTAGCCATTTCATGATGTTCAATTTCTGCCTTTTTCATATAAAATATTTTTTTTATAGAATTTGCATCCTGTCAACATAAAATTACTTGGTTTAGGAAAAAAAGGACAGTTTAAAATGCCCTCAGTCATGCACTGGACACTTTCTATGGCACTGTTCCATTTGGAGTAGGCTTCCATTTACTACCCATAAAGCTGCATCCTCTAACCTTTCCACAACCTTTGAAAACATCATCACAATTATACATAAGTTAAAAAGCCTCCTAGCTCTTTCACAATTAGTCAAGTAATGCACAAAGATCTAACAGTGAACAAGGAAAAATGGGTGAAAATACAATCAACTCTGTGTCCACTGACCTAAAAATTGATACAAAGATACACTTCTAAGATTAAAGACTATGCACACAAATTTAGGATGAATGTACTTGCTTAAATCAATAGCATTAATATATCAAATCTAGTTTCCCTTCTAAAATTTATTTTAGGTAAAATAATCAGACCAAAAAGTACAACCTAACTGCATCAACAAATTATTGGTACTCTACTATTACTGTCCTATCAAGAACTAAGAATACAGGAATTTCATAGCTCGTTTCTGATTTTCACTCGAAGTTTCTTAAAAGATGAAAGTTTATTAAAAGGTGAAAGGTAGGTTAACTACCAAAAGCAACCATATTTGAGGCAGCATTCTGAAAGTTTAAAATAATTTTACTCCCAAAAGGTTTTCTGAGAGTCCTCTCCAAAATTCCCGACATATTATTAATTCAAGAAATGTCTATAAGCAACTGTGTTATAGGACTACAAAATTTCTAGGAGAGTTGCAAAGCAATGAAATGGTCATTTCACATTGTGTGTTGCACTACAGAAATTGCTTTTTATATTTATGAAGTTTAAAGGAGAGACCAAATCAATATTTAACTAAAAAGTAGATCAAAAACAAACCTTACATCCGGCATAAACATAGACATATAAATGAATGGAATCGAACTGAGATTCCAGAAATAAACCCATACACCTACAGTCAACTGATTTTCAACAAGGGTGCCAACGCAATTCAATGGGGGAAAGAACAGTCTTTTGAATAGAAGGTGCTGGGAAAAATGAATATCCCGTGTGGAAGAATGAATGTAGATCCCTACCTCACATCTACCTCAAGTATACAAAAATAAATTCAAAATGGATACATTTAGGTTTAAGGGCTGAAACTATAAAATTCTTAGATGAAAACATAGGTGTAAATCTTTGTGGCCTGGGATTAATGCTTTCTTATACAAGACACTAGAAATACAAGCAACCAAAGGAAAAGCAGACAAACTGGACTTAACGAATTAAAAACTTTGTGTCAAAGGACACTACCATGAAAGTAGAAACAATCCACAGAATGGGAGAAAATATTTGTAAATCATGTATCTACTCTAATGTCCAGACTATATAAAGAAATCTAACAATTCAACAATTAAAAAACAGGTAACCCAATTAAAAAATGGGGTAAGGATCTGAATAAAAAGTTTTTCAAAGATATATGAATGGCTCACTACACACAAAAAGATGTTCAACATCACTAATCATCAGGGAAATGATATTCGAACACAATGAGATACTACTTCACACCCACGAGGATGGCTATCATAAAAACAAAAATGGAAAACAAGTGTTAGTGAGAATGTGGAGAAATTACACTTGCACATTTCTAGTGCAAATGTGAAATAGTACAGCTCCTTTGGAAAACAATTTGGTGGTTCCTCAAAAAGCTAAATATATAGTTACATGTAGACCAGCAATGCCATTCCTAGGTATATTGCCAAGAAAAATGAAAATACTATGTCCACATAAAAACTTACACATGAATGTTCACAGCAGCATTATTTATAATAGCCATAAAGTGGAAACAATCCAAATGTCTAGCAATTGATAAGTGGGTAAATAAAACATGGTATATAAATGCAATGGAGTATTACTTAGCAATGAAAAGAATGAAGAAGTGATACGTGCTGCAGCATGAGTGCCTTAAAAGCATCATGCTCAGTGCAAGAAGCCAGTCACAAAGGACCACATTTGTACGATTCCATTTAAACGAAATGCCAAGAATAAGCAAATTCACAGAGACAGAAAGTAGGCCAGTGTTCCTAAAATGGGGAGATAGGGAGCAAATGGAGTGACTGCTAACTGACTGTGGTCATGGCTGCACAACTCTGCGAATACACTAAAAACCATTAAATTGTACACTTTGAGTTAAATGTATGGTATGATGTGAATTTCATGTCAATAAAGTTGTTATATAAAAATTGCTGGCTCTAAATTAAGGTATCTACTCTAACCAACGAAAACAACAACAGTGAAAAACTAACCTTGAATACTTGAGAACCAGGCTCATTATAAGTTTTGGCATTTTTTGCTAGGAGATCTATATCTTTGGCCATTGCATGAATACTCTTGTAGCTTCCATTCTAGAGTAAACAATAAAATATAGCAGTTCCTCTTAATTGAAAGTTAATCAGCATGACCTTTAAAAAAAAGAACTCCACATATTTTTAAATTCTCACCATATTCAAAGACTTTATTGGAAAATACACATGTGAACAATATATAAAGTCATTTTCTCTTTTATAAACTATTAAAATTGTCCATTTACACACAAGTTTTTGAGAATAGGTAACAACCAGAGCTATGTTAGTTTCACAAAAATTTATAATTTTTAAAAGATCAAATAATGTAAAAGTTGTTTAATTCAGCAAACACACAGTGCTTACTATGTGCCAAGCACTATTCTAAGTACTTCATGAATACTAATCCATTAAGGTGGACTTAAGGGTGTGAAGTAAAACTCCTCTAGTTTTATAGCCCACTTCAGATAAAATAGTCTAGCACAGAGGTTGCACTTTTTGAGTACCTACTATGTATTAGGCTCCATGTTAGAGCTGTCACATCTTAAAGCTCACTCAATCCCAAATAATCCAGGGAGACTTAGAACTGCCTTCAATTTTCAAAGAAAAGGAAAGAGGAAGACACTCTAAGCAAAAGGTACACATGATTAATGAGAAGAACACAGAAACGAACAGACACATTCTAGAAAGACTGAGAAAACCAAATTAAGCGGAGTGGAGGATTAGGGAAGGTAGAACCATAAGCAGAGGCTGTATAGGTAAGGACAAATGAGGCAAAATCCAGACAGCCAGGCAAAGGAGAGTAGCTGGTGATCTGCCAAGTGAGGATACCCAGCATCTGAGCACTCTCTGTTTACCTTCCTTTTTTCTTAAAGATTTTATTTTTAAGTAATCTCTACACCCAACATGGGGCTCGAACTCACAACCCCAAGATCAAGAGTCACATGTTCCACTGACCGAGCCAGCCAGGGCACCCCTGAGCACCCTCTTTATTTGGAAAAAATCCTAGTACAGGTGGTAGGGAGGAACCTACTTTCCACAATAGAGGGTAAAAGTGGATAATAGCACTGCTAGCAGCCTGGCACCCAGGGCAAGGGGAGATAATTCATGCTTGAGCCTTGAGAGACTAAAGTGAGGGCAAGGGAATAGAAAAAATGCGTTCCTACCTCCCACAAAGGGCAATAAAGCAGAGGGGAGCAGTGGGTGTCCAGGACCCACAGTGGCAGATGACACTGGGAACAGCAATGGCACCACAAAGAGACTGCATGACCTCAGCTGTGTCATGATGTCCCTGAGTTCTGCCTACTTCCCTAAGGCTAGTTCTCCAGCTTGCCTTCCCAACAATTCCGTGAGCTATCTGGTACTCTTTTCATGGATTCCCCTTCTACTGGAGTTATTCAGAGCTGGTTTCCGTTGCACTGCTACAAAACTGTGATTTGCTAGCGGAGGCACTAGAAACAAGTGACAAGGCTCTGGGCTGTCCAATAGAGAGGAAGAATAAAATAGGAAGAAAACTAGGGTCAGGAAGCAACATGCAGAATTCGGACCAGAGAGCCTTTCATCAGAGAAGTAGTAAGGACTATTACAGTAATTTGGACATAAGAGGACAAGATCTTGCTTAGGGTGATGGCAAAAGGAGGTGCTTCTATGGGGCTTTTGGAAGGAAGAACAGATGAGAGAGGTCTCAGAGAGAAGGCTGGGGCTGGGGTAGGGATGTCTAAAGATCTGATGTGAATTTCAGTATTACAAAAACATCTTCCCCCAAGGTAGATGTTAGGAACCCCAGGAGTTCTAGGAGACTAAGTCATTACCAGTAGTGGCTAGGGATCTGCCTTAAAAACCAGGTGATACATTAGAGAATCTGTATTTTAACATTCTGTGAAGTGTATTATGGTACCAGTAATCACTACACTGTTACTCTTTACTACTCTAGAATTTTAAAGCCAAGGAAGTTTCTCCCTTCTGGCAAACCATGTGCCTTCAGTCTTATTTCTCAATGAGACCATGTGACACATTAAATTTTCCTTTTCATTTTATCTATTGGGAGTCCCAAACCCTCCTTACTCTGGGAGGGTCACGAACTCACACTGACCAAGGCCACAGCCCACAGGTGCTCTGTGAGATGCTTCACATCCATTATCACTGCCCCCTCCAAGGCTGCAAACTGGTAACACTACACTCAGCGTACAGCAGAGGAAGTCACCTGACTGAAGTGATATAGCTAGTAAGGAGCAGAGCTAAGAAAGTAACCCATGTCGGTACAACTCTAAAAACTGGATTTCTGGTAAGATTTGGCTCTTTCTCCCTACACCTTCTTTAACTTCTAATCATCAGGTTTTAAATTTCATCATTCATTCACTCAATAAACATCTACTGAGCACCTACTCTGTGGAGAGGCAGTAACAGTGCAGAGGTTAAGAGCACAGACTCTGGAGTCAGAATGTCTAGCTTCAAATCCCAACTCTTCTCCTTACTAGCTGATGACTTGAGCCAGTGACTTACCATCTCTGTGCTTCAGTTGTCTCACCTGTAAAACAGGAATAATAACAGTATCTACCTCACGGAGTGGCTGTCAGAATTAGCTAATACATATAAAGCACTTAGAACAGGGCAGGCACCTAGCAATGCCAGGTGAGCGTTGGCTGCTGCTATCGCTGGAGATACCGGGAAGAACAAAGTCTCTGTTTCCACTGACCTAACACTCTAACATATACTGAAGGTAATTTATTCTGAGACATCCTAAAACTATTTGGAAGCAGGTAAGAATAAACAACAAAGCTTTACTGCTAATGGGCCTTTCACAACCAGAAATGTCTACACCCAGTGCTTTTAATTTTTGTCCTAAGAGCAAGATTTACTATGCCAATGAAAATTCTGCTTTCCCCCCTACAGATAAAATGCAAAAGCGACACTATGCTACCTCCTCCAAAGCGATAATCAGTTATACCACTCCAAACTGTTTATTATATTGCTAAGAACCCCTTACAAAGACATCTGCTTCTGTTTTCTAAAAGCCCCTAAAAAATACCTCAGGCTGATCTGCCCCAAACCATATATGGTTACATATGGTCATCTTCATACCTGTATCCTCTGGGCAATGGTCTTGAGATCTATAGGCTCCTTAATTATTGCATAATAGTCTGGATATTGCTGGAAGACAAAAACCCAAGCATGCTAAATAAGAGAAAGTATCCAGGTAATGAGAAAACAAGGAAGCACACTGACAACCTGTTCATCAACTGAACAGCTCTGTCAGATGCAGGGCTACAGTCACAGCTGTACAGCATATTGTTATAGCTGAAGCAGAAAGAATTTAATTTTAACAAGCTTCATGAAATACACAAGAGCATGTTGTACAAGTTTACAGGTAGTATTTGGTAATTGCCATTATTCAACTAATACACCATAATTTAATGTTTGAAATACTCTAAATTCACAGAATCACAAATTTTAAGTTTAACATATTTATGCCTGGAAATGAAAGAGAAGAAAGTTTTTGAATGCTCTTATAAGCTCTTTTAATTTTGCAATCTAAATCACACAATATTATTCTATTTCATATAAAATTATTATTTTTTTTAAGATTTTATTTATTTTAAAGAAAGAGAGCACACATGCCTACGAATGGATGGGGGCGGGGGAAGAGGAAGGGGGAAAGAATCTCAGACAAACTCCACGCTGACCGTGGAGCCTGACTCAGGGCTCAATCTCACCACCCTCAGATCATGACCTGAGCCAAAACTAAGAGTCAGATGGTTAACTGACTGTGCCACCCAGGCACCCCTCACGTAAAATTCTTAAGGATCTACACTACATCAGGTTGCAAGTTTGTTAGCTTCATGTTTAACTTCACGCTTCTACTTATTTTGGTCAAATTAATTTTTTTCAAACTAAACACGTTCAAGTGAACTACATTAAAGAAACAAAGTAAAAGGGGCTCCTGTGATGGCTCAGTCAGTTAAGCGTCCGCCTTTGGCTCAGGTCAAGCCCCACATTGGACTTCCTGCTTGGTGGGGAGTCTGCTTCTCCCTTTCCCTCTGCCTCCTCCTCCCTGCTCATGCTCTGTTTCTGTCTCTCATTCTCTCTGTAAAATAAATAAAATCTTAAAAAAAAATAAAATTATAAGCACTTTCTGATTTCTTATCAAATATTATCTCATCAAAAGAAAAGAAGTTAAGTATGTTAGAGGAATGTTCCTGAAGAGTTTCACAAAGCCCACAGTGCAGGGACGTCTGGGTGGCTCAGTTGGTTAAGTGTCTGACTCTTGAGTTCAGCTCAGGTCATGATCTCAGGATCGTGAGATCGAGCCCTGTGTTAGGCTCCGTACTCAGCGGGGAGTCTGCTTGAGATTCTCCCTCACCCTTGCCCCTTGCCTGAATGCATGCCCTCTTTCAAATAAATAAAATCTTTAAAAACAAAACAAAACAAAAAAACAAAGCCCACAGTGCATTCACTGCCCCAAGTCTTTTCTACAGGTTTGGTTCCTTAGAAGGAAACAATTGAAGCCGACCAAAAATCAAAAGCTGGTCTACTCAAGGGGGAGAGGTGTGGGTTCTCCAAGCTCCTCCAACCTGTTCAAGTCCTTGAAGCCCAAACAACAACAAAAAGCAGGAGGCTACAGCCTTCACTCAGTTACTGGGCTGAAGGCATGATCTCAGGGATGCTTCCTCTCATCTGATTCCTCAGCTCACCCTACTTTCTTAATGCTGCTCTTTTCTTTGCTTGGATCGAACCCCTTTTCTAGCCCCTCTCTTTACCAATTCTACTTCTGAGAAACAGTTCAGAAGACAAATTATAACAAGGCCACCCAGGCTGGGGTGGAGTGTAATCCCAGCTGTGGGGTCTACATATTCACAATCCCCCTCTCCCACTCAGCCAGTCCAGCTTGGGAAGGGCTCATAAAGGAAAGGTAAAAACTGCCCTCCCCTCCCAGTCCCAGTCGACTTTCAAAACTGTCACACCCTGAAGGACCGATGGGAACCTGCTTTTTCCAACCAACTTTTGCTACATGGTGTTCCCGAAAGCCCTCCTGGAATGGGGGAACAGGATATTAGTGTGGTTTTTTGGTTCTGTTTTGTTGAAAAGTAGGTTCCACACCCAGCATGGAGCCCAATGCGGGGCTTGAACTCATGACCTTGAGAGAAAGACCTGAGCTGAGATCAAGAGTCAGGACGCTTAACTGACTGAGCCATTCAGGTGCCCCAGGATATTAATGTTTTATTGCTTCAAGTCACCCTTAGTGGCTTGACCAATGGTGATGGTCTCCTGCAGAGTAAGAGTTCTTGAATAAAGACTATACTCCTTTCTTACAGTTTTTTTATTGTGGTTAAATATACAAAAGGTTTACCATTTAATCATTAAAAGTGTGTGGTTCAGTGGCATTAAGTACATTCACATTATCGTGCAACCATTGTCATCATCCGTCTTCCAAACTTTTCACCTTCCCAAACTAAATCTCCAGACCTACTGAACAGTAACTGCCCCCTCTCCCTTCCTGCCTGTCCCTGGAAACCACAATTCTACTTTCTCTATGAATTTGAATACTCTGAGTACCTTCTACAAGAGGAAACATGTAATACTGGTCCTTCTGTGACAGGCTTATTTCACTTACCATAATGTGTTCAGGGTTCATTCTAGCATGTGTCGGAATTTCATTCCTTTTTATTTATTGTAAATATTTCATTTACTTATTTGAGACAGAGAGAGAGAACGAGAGAACAAATAGGGACAGGGGGAAAGGGAGAAGCAGGATCCCTGCTGAGCAGGGAGCGGGATGCGGGGCTTGATCCCAGGACTCTGGGATCATGACCTGAGCCGAAGGCAGATGCTTTAGCTGACTGAGCCACACAGGCGCCCCTCATTCTTTTTTTAAAGGCTGAATAACACTCCATTGTATGTGTATACCACATTTCATTTATCTAGTCATCTGTTGAGGGACATCTGGGTTGCTCCCATGTTTTAGCTATTTTGAGTAATACTGCTGTGAACATGGGTGTACACTCTTTGAGATCCTGCTTCCAATTCCTTTGGTATATACCCAAAGTGAAATTGCTGGATCATATGGTAATTCTATATTTAATTTTTTGAAGTTTCTCAAAATTTAAAACATATGACCAATATAATCTCTGTATTTCTCTAATCAGATCCACACTTAGAATAGTAGTGGTCATATATGCTTGTTTTTTTTTGTTTTTGTTTTTTTTAACTTTTTAAAGTAAAGTCTACACCCAACATGGGGCTTGAACTCATGACACCAAAATCAAGAGTTGCATGTTCTACCGACTTAGCCAGCCAGGTGCCCTTATGCTTTACTTCTAATATGATAACTGTCCTACAACTAGTCAAGACACATCTCTAAATAACCAGTCTTGTCCATGGCTGATGGGGAAAGCTGCAAGCCACTCATCAGTCAATAAGCATTTCTTGCACACCAGTGACATGCTGGATTCCGACCACATGGCAGGGACACAAAAGAAAATCGGACATAATCTTTGTTCTTAAATTCAGGGACATGAGAGGGAGGCAGATAAAAAGTAAACGATCACAATGGAATTAGGTGCTACAGTGAAGTACTTCTAAAAGTATATCCTTGTCTAGAAATACAAGAACGCTGAGGCCATGGAAATTTTTGTAGTTCCATGTGCTACCCTGGAACTTTAGCTATGTTCACTGCCTTTCAGTTATGAAGCCACGAGAGGCCCTACCACTTTCAAAGGATCTCACTTGTCTAGAAAACCTCTTCCTCTTTGGGGTAGATGAGTGCTATTAGATCTCTCTCTTCTCCATCACCAGATCAGAACTAAAAGAGGAAGAACTCATTTATCTTCTTCTCATTCTGTCTCCTGAGCAAAGAGAACGTTTCTTCTCTTTCATAAATAAAAGGCTTAGTTTAGGTACTTATTTTGTTATTTAAGAATTACCAATCTTGGAAACAACCCAGTGTCCACTGACAGATGAATGGACAAATAAAATGTGGTATATGCACACAATGGGAGTATTATTTGGCTTTAAAAAAGAAGGTAATTCTGACACATGCTACAACCTGGATGAACCCTGAATACATGATGCTAAGTGAGACAAACCAGATATAAAAGGATAAATATTGTATGAGTCCTCTTATGATCAGGTACTTAGCATAGTCAAATTCATAGAGAGAGAACACAGAATGGTAGCTGCCAGAAGCTGGGGGCTGAGAGGGAGTGGGGAGTTAATTGGTTTTTTTGTTTGTTTGTATTTTATTTTATTTTATGGGGAGTTACTGTTTAATGGATACAGAGGTTTTTTTTTTTTTTAAGATTTTATTTATTTATTTGACAGAAAGAGACAGCGGGAGAGGGAACACAAGCAGGGGGAGTGGGAGAGGGAGAAGCAGGCTCCCGGCTGAGCAGGGTGCCTGATGCGGGGCTCAATCCCAGGACTCTGGGATCATAACCTGAGCCGAAGGCAGACGCTTAACAACTGAGCCACCCAGGCGACCCTGGATACAGAGTTTTAATTAAGGAGATGGACACACAACATGAATGTACTTACACCTCAACTAAACTGTACACTTAAAATGGTTAATTGGTAAATCTTACATATATTTTACAATAGAAAAAGAAAAACAGATAAACAGTAAGAATAACCAATCAAAAACAATTTTGTTTTAAACCCACAACCTTTAGGCTTGCTGCTGTGGCCTCAAGGAGGATCACTTGGCAGCCTCCAATGCCTTTCACTAACTTTACCTTATTTCCTAAAAACTAATAAATTTTCTGAAGTACTGAAAAACGAAAACCAAACCAAGCAAAAACACAGTTTAACTCACCTGTCTTTAATTGCATCACTTACCACTTTAGAAGGCAGTTTCTGAAAAAGTTCACTAATGAGACGTCCTGATGGATTTGTGGCTACAACTATGGCTTCAAGAAGCTGCTCCAGGATCTCCTTCAAGTAACTTGGAGAAGACTGGGAGGAGGGGGTTAGCAGGAAGGAGAGAAGCGAGAGAGAAGGACTGTGAGAGAAATCCAAAAATCAATGCTAAAATGTCAAAGTTAATTCAAAAAAGCAACTTGTAAACAGTGCTTATTTAGTAAGTTTCAAGAATACCACAGAAACACTCTGATGTTGGACATGGGGCTTGTATCCCCAGAATGGCATATATGAAACTAAGGAGGCTCCTTATGTTACTTTAGTAACTAAATCCCTTGGATCAGGTCTTTTTACTGAACTCTATTCCACAGTAAACACTGTTAACAGTGAAATTCAAGTGCCATATATATGAAATGATGGAAATGCAAACCTTTTTAGGGTCTGAGCAACTGAGACAGAGAAAACATGTCCCATGATACCTGACTCTCTCTACATCGTTGTTCCTATCTACTGAATCCTAATATTCTGGTAGAACAAGGATGTATGTAAAGCTGGAAATATATACTTCTACCCATGGGGTACTCCATCAGATCTAATGACAAAATTCAAGCTATCTCAAAAGTGAATGGAGATTAAATCAAATGACGCACATTACTTCTGCCCTGCAGACTGGCTGACTTGCTCCTACCTTAGTCACTATTTCAACATGGGAAAGTATATGCCCCAAACAGTACTTGGTCAGGAAGGGTCTGAGTCTGAAGCTGGTTTCTACAGTGAGCATTGGCATGTTTGAGTTAAGAGTTATAGAAAATGGGTGCACCTGGTGGCTCAACTGTTTAAACACCCAACTCTTTTGACTCTGGTCATGATCTTGGGGTTGTGAGATCAAGACCCCTGTTGGACTCCACGCTCAGCGGGGAGTCTGCTTGAGATTCTCTCCCTCTGCCCCTGCCTGCCACGTTCACTCTCTCTCTCTAAAATAAATAAATCTTAAAAAAAAAAGAGTTCTAGAAAATGTACATGTCCAAACCATGTTTTGTGCATATAAAAGAAAGGTTAATGGTATTTCTCACTCAAATCATAAAAGCACTGGTATTTGTGTCCTCATCTAACAGGTCTTTTTTATTTGGTACAGTCTCAATTTTAAGGTCCAACATTAACTCCACAGAGAGCACGAACATCTCTTAGCCTAGCACAGTACCTGGCAGTAACAGATACATAACAAATACTTAACAAATAAACCATGTGATTAGCTGAGAGTCCCCAACCACAAAAGCTTAGAGAACCAACAAAACACTGATGAAAGCAGACTAAAATACCCAGGCTTCAGTCATTTACTTCCTGGCTAAAACACAGTACCACAGAGTAAGCTTCAAAAAGAGGAGAGTATATTCTGCAGCCAAGATTCCTCTCCTCCCAACCCAACACAGCTACCTTGGAAACATGTGTTGCAGATGACCTAGAGCACGGTGTGTGAATGCATTCATACAACGTATTTCCACAACTGGGAAAACTCCAAGGAAATCATTCTGAATTTAAAAATGAGAAGCTTGAAAATTCCCTCTCCCTTCACAAGAACTTAGGGCCAAGAAGCAGCCCTGGGAGGTATAAATATGAAGGTGCAAGATCCTCCCAATTTCTTACCAAAGAAACACAGGCAAGTCCTAAATGCAGGCGGTTTCATTTTTGACTAGAACCCTGGAGGCCTATAAGACTGAGCCCTCTGTAGGTAATGTTCTGCTCAAGAAAGCATGGGGTAAACTGCTGTTCCTATATTAATACCAGAGAATAAAATTCTAGGGACTCCCTGGTTAATTGCCTTCTACCTAATTCTAATCATTTAACTGCTAGAAAGAAATTGACAAGGTACCTAAGAACTACATTTTGAGACTCCAAGAAGTAATTTTTTTTTTTTTTTAAAAGCAAGAGAAAAAGTGAGAGCACGTGGGAGAGCGAAAATCTTAAGCAGACTCCACGCTGAGCACAGAGCCCAATGCGGGGCTCCATTATCACGACCTGAGCCAACTCTAACAGTCGGATGCTTAACCAACTGAGCCACCCAGGCACCCCGAAGTATTTACATTTTTGAGAAATTCACCGACCACTTTTTTCTGTGTTGAAGTTTCAGGAGAAGGTCTATTTAGGTTAACTTAGGGAAGAAAAGGAATGCTCTGCTTTGAGTATCTCACTATTTAGCTACAGAAGAGAGATGTCCTTACTTCTATTATCCTTTTTCCTTTTTTAAACATGTGTGTTCATTCATCAAGTATTTATCAGTACCTACATACCAGGCACAGTTTTAGATGCCCAGGAATAGGTGAATAAGGTGGTATTTTTTGTGGAGCCATCATTCTCTTTGGAAGAATAAAGAAAATAAACATGTAAACAAACAAGTTATTTCACATATAGTAACAAAAAACTGAGGACCATAGAACAGCGATGTGATGATGGGAAAGGAGGGGTTACAGGGCAAACAATTTAGATAGGTGGTCAGGAAAGTCCACTTCTAGCTGTCATTATTTTAAGTGATATCAGAATCATGAAAAAGAGCCAGTCACAGGAAGAGCCAAAGGAAACACGTCCTAAGAAGAAGAGCAACTGCAAAATTCTAGAGGCAGGAGCTCATTTGGCATGTTCTAGGAACAGCAGCAGCATAATCTACAAAAAAATATTCCTAAAGTGATTCCAATGACTCTCCAACATTTAATCATAACACTGACTACTCTTATATCTCAATCCAGCAATACTGGAATAGTCCTTGATAATATAAAGGTTCTCCTTAAAACTGAGCAGGAAATATGCATCAGTGTAAGAGCAACTCATGGCAACATTGTCCAGGATGTCCTAGGATCCCCTGTAATTGGGAGTGGGGCTCTCTGGTCATTTGCCCCCTTAGCCTCCCCTAGTTACCAACACAACTCCACAGGAAGCCCAGCTTCCCATAACAGCACAGAAGAAATCACAGGCAGGAGGGCCTTGTCCACCTCCCAATGGTCCATCTTACTCATCCCAGCTACACACTTACTCCTTCAGTCACTGTGCCTTGATTGTCTTGCCCATCTTCATCATCATCTTCATCATCTGCTTCTCCTTTTTGAACAAACTCATTTCTTGTTCGAAGGTACAAATCCCAGAGTTTGCAAGCAGCTTTATACTCAGGAGAATCTGGCTGTACAAATTAACAAAGACAAGAGAAAAAAATTTCACTTTAGTATTTTATTGTAAATCAATGACTTTTAAAGCATTCTGCTCCAGCAGAGACTAGCATTCTAAAACATTCATGTTGAACCCCCTACTACAAATTTAGAAATCTCTCTTTTTTTTAAGATTTTATTTATCTGATGGAGTGAGACACAGCGAGAGAGGAAACAAGCAGGGGGAGTGGGAGAGGGAGAAGCAGGCTTCCTGCTGAGCAGGGAGCCCGATGTGGGGCTCGATCCCAGGACTCTGGGATCATGACCTGAGCCGAAGGCAGATGCTTAACAACTGAGCCACCCAGGGGACCCCAAATTTAGAAATCTTTATGACTAAAAGATACATGGGCCTCAATTCCTCTTCTGAAGAACTAAGCATATGTTTTAAAGGCATTCTGAAATCATATTACTTTATTTATTTATGCCCTACTATCTCATTACATTAAGATTTGAGGCAAAAGATAAATGATTTGTTAAATTAACACTAATAGGGACACCTGGTGGCTCAGTCAGTTAAGCGTCTGCCTTCGACTCAGATCATGATCCTAAGGTCCTGGGATTGAGTCCCTCATCGGGCTCCTTGCTCAGCGGGGAGCCTGGTTCTCCCTCTACCTGCCACTCCCCCTGCTTGTGCTCTCTCTCTGACAAATAAATAACTAAAATCTTTAAAAAAAATTAACACTAATTACTCATACACGAAGACACGCAATTTAAAAGATAAGACCCAGTTTAAGGGCTGTAAGTGTAAAGGATAGAAGCTAATGATTGTTCTAATATTACTTCTATTTTTAAGCTATTTACTACTTTATTTAAAGACTTCTTTTCCTAAAGTATAACAGGGATAAACTCTAACTGAAACTTTCCAGTAAAAGCAATACTGGAAGCAATGTTAAAATAAATAAATAAATAAAAACAAAACTTTCAAAATGCATCCAGGTGCTGCCAATAAGGAGAAAGCAATGCTCAAAAGAGCAAGAAAAGAGTAAAAGCAGGAACCCAGATGACCATGCAGAACACTGAAGCTGACATTCACTCGAGGGCTTTTGTAAGACAAGATAAACCTAAGCTTTAGTTTTCAAGGCTCTCTCTGAGGCTGCAAGGACAGGATATAAAGGGCAGGGCCCACCAGAAGCTGGGACCCAAAGGCCACAGTTGCAACGTAAGTGGGAATTCAAAAACAATTCAGTTTCTGTGATGCCCGGGAACAACACTGCCCACCTCAACCTCCACCCAGCTCAACTTGTGCTTATCTCAAACCATAGCACTGCAGGGAGGAGAGGCATGGGATGAATCTCCTCTGAAAACTCTTCATCATATGCTAGCCCTAACAAAGACAGGCCAGGTGCCTGGGATAAGCAACACACCAAAATGAATGAACCCAACTTCAATCTAAGCCTCAAACAATCTCTAGAGATCTAGTTCCAAGAAATACGAGCTCAAGGTTAAAATTCATGAAACACACAAGAAAGCCAGCAGAAATAACCGCAAAATCAGACATGCAAGTATTTCAGATATTGGAATTGTCTGCCATAGAATGAAAAATAAGTATGTTGAACATTTTTAAAGAAACAATGGGATTGAAAAATATAAGCAAATTGCAGGAAACCCTGAAAAAGAAACTACTTCCAAAACATGAAAAATATAAATATTAAAATGTAAGAACTCAATAGCGTGGTTTAAGAGCAGATTTCAAGGAAAACTGGAAGAACTAAAGAAATTACCTAAAAAGCAACACAGGCACTAAAAAGGGGAATATGAAAGGTTAGGAGAGACAGAGATGTGAGAGGGCTCTAATAGAACACCCAGAGTTCTAGCAGGAGAGAGAGCGCGGCAGGGGCAGCATGCGAAGACAGAACAGCTGCAAACTTCTCAGAGCTGATGAAAAACATCAAAGATTTAGAAAGCCCTATAATTCCCAAACTATACTAATAAAAAGATATTCATATCTAGACACATCACCGTGAAACCGTAGAACACAACAGACAACAAGACACCAAAGACAGCCAGAAAGAAAATACAGCTAACCTTTAAAGGAACTAAAATTATATTGACAGAGGACTTCTTGATGGCAATAAAAGAAAAAAAGAATAGGGACACCTGGCTGGCTCAGTCAAAACGGCATGCGACTTTTGATCTCAGGGCCATGAGTTTGAGCCCCATGTTGTGTGTAAAGATTACTTTAAATAAATAAACTAAAAAAAAAAAAAAAAAAAAGAGTAGAATGTGAGTAAAAACAAATACTATCTGTAAAACAGTAACATTAAAAAAATAAAAAAAAAATAAAACAGTAACCTTATTTTATGGGATTAAAAATCTGCCACAACAGGTGTGCCTGGCTGGCTCAGTCAGTGGAGTGTATGACTCTTCATCTTGGGGTTGTGAGTTCCAGTCCCATGCTGGGTGCAAAGATTACTTAAAAATAAAATCTTTTTTTTTAAAAGATTTATTTAAGAGAGAGAGAGAGAATGCAAGCAGGGGGAGGGGCAGAGGGAGAAAGGGAAAGACAATCCTCAAGCAGATTCCCCATTGAGCACAGAGCCCTTGCAGGGCTTGATCCAGGATCCTGAGATCACAATCCAAGCCAAAATCAAGAGTCGGATGCTCAACCGACTGTACCACCCAGGCACCCCAAAAATAAATTAAAAAAAAAAAAAAATCTGCCACGACAGAACTAAAATACAAAACATCAGCAGCATAAATAGATCAGAGTTGAATTATTCTAAGGTCTTTGTATTGTTTAGAAGGAGGTTTAAGATGCTGATTAACTTTTGACTTTGGTAAGTTAATTATGCACATTAAAGCTTCATAAGAACCAAGAGGTATCAACAGATTTTACAACCCCCAAATTGTAGAGAAGAGGGAATAACAAAATGAAACCAAAAGAAGGCAGAAAGAAAAACAAGAGAAAAGATTACAAAATGAGATAAAGAGAAAGTGGAAATGTAGATGACAGAAATGCATCCGAATATAACGTTATTACTAAAACTGTAAAGAGATGAAATTCCAGGTAAAAAGATTATCATCCGTATATTAATAGAAATTCATGCATATGCTGTTTGCAAGGGATGCGTTAGCATGAAAGGGTTGAAGGAAAAGAATGGGAAAAAATAAACTAGATAAACACAAATATAAAAGCTGATAGAACTATATTAATGTCAGATAAAACAGACTTCAAACAAAAGACATTACTAATGATACTACATAATGCAAAAAAAAATTCAATTTACTAGGACAATGTAACAATTTTAAACTTGTATGCTCCCAGTTGCAGAGTTTTAAAATACATAAAGCAAAAGATCAACAGAGTTATTAAGAAGAAACAGACAAATCCATTGTCTGAGTGAGAGATTTTAAAACACCTCATTTGGTAAACAGTTTGTACAGATAATTCAGTTAAGGATATAAATGATTTTAGCAACATAATTAACAAGCTAGGTCTGATGGACACACGCAGAATCTTGTATCCAATGAACAGCACCCTTGCCATAGTCACAAAATTTATAGCACCTTTATAGCTAAAACTAGAAACAACCCAAATGCCCATCAACTGGGAAATGGATAAACAAAGTGTGGTACAGCCATATAATAGCACATTATCCAGTCATAGAAAGGAATGAAGTACTAATACATGCTACAAAATGGATGAACCTCAAAGACCTGCTCAGTGAAAGAAGCCAGTCACCTAAGGCCATGTAGTATTTGATTCCATTTATATGCAATGTGCTGAACGACAAATCCACAAGAAAATAGATTAGTGGTTGTCAGAGGCAGGGAGGAGGGGAAATGGAGAGCACCTGTTAATGGGTACAGTTTTATTTTTGGGGTAATGAAAATATTCTGGAGTTAGGTATTAGATATTAGTGATGGTTGCACAACTTTGTGAATATGCTAAAAACCCCTGAATTCTATACTTTCTTTATTATTATTATTATTTTTTTAAAGTAGGCTCCATACCCAGTGTGGAGCCCAACACAGGCTTCAATTCACAACCCTGACATCGAGACTGGAGATGATGTCAAGAGTTGGACGCTTTACCAACTGAGCCACCCAGGCACCCCTGAATCTACACTTTAAAAGACTGTGTGACAGAAGGGAAGGGGGCGGTGGAATGGGGTAGCCGGGTGATGGGTGTTAAGGAGGGCATGTGTGGTGATGAGCACTGGGTGTTACACGCAACGGCAATGAATCGCTGAACACTACATCAAAAACTTATTATGTACTATATGCTGGCTAACTGAACATAAAAAAAAAAAAAAAGAAAAAAGAATTAGCATCCGCCAAAAAAATAAAGACTGAATTTATTCTCAATTAAAGAAAAAATATATATATACACAGATATTACACAGTATTAAGAACAAATCTAATAACACTTTGCATTTTGCAGACTCAATAAGAAAACATCTAAAGCTTTGCTAAAATAACTTAAAGAAGCCTTAAAAAAACGACAACACATCAAATTCAAAGACTGGAATAATCAATATCACAATTACATTAATTCTCCAAAATAGGACTGATCCACAGAGTCCATGCAATTCCAATAAAATCTCCAACAATTTTTTTCATGCTTGACTTAACATATAAATGTATTAAGAAAAGGGTCAAGAATAATCAATAACCAGTGCTTTCCTTACGTAATAAAGAATTATAAAGCCATAATAATTAAGGCAAGAATAAAAAAGCCGAGTAATAGCTAAACTGGGCAAAACAAAAGGAACAGACTAAAGGGCTGGAAAGGGACCATGAGGACATGGAAGCACTGTGAGCACTGCTGGTGCACACGACTGTGAAGAGGATGTGGCCCTTCAAAGGTGCCACTTATCCCTTTTAGGAAACAAAATTGAACCCCATCTCACAGAAGACACAAAAACCAACCTGAGCTGCCGTAAAGGCCTGTATGGGAAAGACAAAACTATTGAACTTTTAGAAGAAAATATGGGAGTGTCTTTATAATCTTTGGATAAGAGGGATTTCTGAAAACAAGACACAAACGACAAACCACAAAGTTAAAGAGTAAGAAATTGGATTATGTTAAAATACTCTTCTGTTTCATCAAGACACCATAAAGAATGAAAACAGCCTCATAGTGGGAGAAGATACTTGTAACAAATATAACCAAGGAGGATTAGTATCTAGAATATATTAAAAAAATTCTAGAAATAAATATGAAAATGACAAACAACTCAAGAGAAAAATGGACAAAAGATTTGAACAGACACAAAAGAAACAAAAACGGTACATGCTATACGAATCTTCAGTTTTTCTTAAAAGAAACAAACTCAGGGGCGCCTGGGTGGCTCAGAGGGTTAAGCATCTGCCTTCAGCTAGGATCATGACCCCAGGGTCCTGGGATCGAGCCCCACATCGGGCTCCTGGCTCAGTGGGGAGCCTGTTTCTCCTTCTCCCTCTGCCTCTCTCCCTGCTCCTGCTCTCTCTGTCTCAAATGAATAAATAAAATCTTCAAAAAAAAAAAAAAGGTAAACTCAAACCGCACTACTTACACTACTAAACTGATAAAAATTAAAAAGTCAAACTATTATCAAATTGGATACCTTCCAAATGTGATGCTTTCTTACCTTGTAATAGGCCTTTGCATTGTTAAAAAGCAGCTGGAAGTCGGCAGTCAGCAGATTAACATCATCATACTCTTCCATTTTTAGCTTTTGTTGGATTTTCATCAAATCAATGGGCTGAGAAACCACTTCGTAATAGTCTGGTTGATTTCTGTTATAATATTTTTTAAAAAAGATGTTAGTCCAAAGCCCATATAAAGTTACATTTCAAAACTACTTGTGGTAATGTCCAACATTCCAAGTGATAAAACATACTAGACTTACTCCCATTATTAGAACTAAAAGAGAGTAACAAAAGCAAGGGGCATATGCATGCCCTTTTCTAAGAATATATTAGCAACATAAAAACCTAACTTAACATCTGTGATGGTCATTTATATGCTAAATATTTAAGATTTAGGGCACCAGCACTAAAACAACGTCACTGGTATCTTCTGCAAATGAAAATATCTTACCTTTTGTGGTGTTCAATCGTGGCTGAAAATAGATTCATGTTTCAAAGCTCTTTACAAACTTACAAAATGGACTGTCTCTTCACTTAGTGACCACAGAACTTTTTCTACCAAGTATAATCAAGTACCTATTATATATACTGCTCTTGGGTGCCTGGGTGGCTCAGTTGGTTAAGCGACTGCCTTCGGCTCAGGTCATGATCCTGGAGTCCCGGGATCGAGTTCCGCATCGGACTCCCTGCTGAGCAGGGAGTCCGCTTCTTCCTCTGACCCTCTTCCCTCTCGTGCTATTTCTCATTCTCTCTCTCTCAAATAAATAAAATCTTTAAAAATATATATATATATACATACTGCTCTAATATCAATTACTAAACTTACAGAGAAGAAAGATGAGGTCGTTGGCACAAGGAGCTTACCAAAGATAAAAGGGTGTAAAACATAAATAAACATGACCAAACTATTAAAAAAAAAAACAAAAACAAAAAACCCCAAACACACAGGTATGATAAATAGAAAATCCAGGATAATGATTATCTCTTGGAGGGGAGGGATAGTGAGGGTCACACAGGAAACTTCAAATGTGGTTATAAATGATAATTTTTTTTTAAGATTTTATTTATTTATTTGACAGAGAGAGCGAGAGAGCGAGAGAGGGAACACAAGAGGAGAGTGGGAGAGAGAGAAGCAGGCTTCCTGCTGAGCAAGGAGCCTGATGTGGGGCTTGATCCCAGGACCCTGGGACCATGACCTGAGCCGAAGGCAGTCACTTAACAACTGAGCCCCCAGGCGCCCCTAAATGATAATTTCTTAAGTTGGGTTTTGGGTTAATGGATGTTTATTATTATTATTCCCTTTGGCTTTTTGATTATTTAAATTCAATTAATTAACATTTAATGTATTATTAGTTTCAGAGGTAGATAGAGATTCATCAGTTGTAGGTAACACTCAGTGCTCATTTCATTACTTGCCCTCCTTAATGCCCATCATCACCTCTGGCCTTTTTCAAATGGAATTTCATGAGACAAGTAAACCTCCTGAAAAATTATTTCAGTGACCATTTCTCTCAGTTCTGCCCCAAGTTAACTCCATTCTAGAGGTATAAGAAATAAATTATTACATACAAAAAATGTCATGTCATTAAGGCTTTAATCTCTCTTGGGACCTTGGCTGACATGTTATAGCCATATATGGAAGATATATTTAATTTTTAAAACCTTTTTATTCTGACATAAAAATTGCAAGAATAATATAAAGCATTTTTTTCTGAACCATTTGAAAGTAAGCTCCTGACATGAGGTTCTGTCACCCCTGAATAATTTATTTATTTTTATTTTTTAAAGATTTTATTTATTTGACAGAGAGAGCACAAGCAGAAGGAGAGAGAGGGAGAAGCAGGCTCCCTGCTAAGCAGGGAGCCTGATGTGGGACTCGATCCCAGGACCCCGGGATCATGACCCGGGCCGAAGGCAGCCGCTTAACCGACTGAGCCACCCAGGCATCCCCAATCACCCCTGAATAATTTAGTATTTCCTATAAACAAGGACCACAGCTCAACCATCAGAAACAGGAAACTGACTGATACAGTACCACCATTTAATCCTCATATTCTGTAACTATTCCAAAATTGTCCTTTATACCCAAAGGATCAAGTCCAGAATCACGTGTTGCATTTAGTTATACTTCTTTAGTTTCTTTCATTCTGAAGCAGGTCCTCAGTCTTTCCTCAACTTTCAGGATCTTGATACTTTTGAATAACTTATGGGCCAATCATTTTATAGGGTGTTCCTATAAAACAGAGTTTTTCTGTTTTCCTGATGAATAAATGCAGGCTATGCTTCAGCAGGACTATGACAGAAATGATGCTGCGTTTGTTACACTGTATCCTATCAGGTTAGGCACATGATTTCAACTTGTCCCAGTACTTAGGCAAGGCTCATTCTGATCACTTGATTATAGTGGTGTCTGCCAAGCTTCTCAACTGAGCAAGTCACTGTTTTTCTCCCTATACTTTACAGAGTGGTACCTCCAGACTATGTAAAAGTCCATTCCTAATCAATTTAGTCATTTATTTATATCAATATGGATCCCTGGATTCCTATTTGGAAGTCATTAAAACCCATTACGTTAATTATTCTGATGCTCAAGCTGCTCAAAGTTGGGCCAGGAGTCCTTTTAAGATGGTTTGTATTCTCTATGTGCTTTTGACATGTTCCCATCACCCTTTGAACATCTGCTTACTTTCTGGCAGCCTAAGATATTACAGGTTCCTCCTTGCCCTTAAAATCAGCCATTTCCTCCAAAGAACTCTAGTTCCTTGCAATGGTAAATGGTATTTAAAAACGAAGTCCAGGGGCACCTGGGTGGCTCAGTCAGTTAAACATCTGCCTTCGGCTCAGGTCATGATCCCAGGGTCCTGGGATCGAGCCCCACATCGGGCTCCCTGCTCAGTGGGACGCCTGCTTCTCCCTCTCCCTCAGCCTGCCACTCCCCCCTGCTTGTGCTCTCTCTCTCTCTGACACACAAATAAAATCTTTAAAAATAAATAAATAAAATAAAAACGAAGTCCAAGGTGCTGGATGTGCTCAGGTATACTGGTGTGTTACTGCTCCTAGGCTGTCTCAATGGACAAAGATGGAGATAGACATACACTCATATCTACATTTCTATTATCTACAGATGTTGGGAACCATGAATTCACACAAACCTTTCTAATTCTAATCGTATACCACAGGGTTCAATCTAGTTTCCTTTCTCTATTTGTACTCCCTTTCTCAGATAATGAGAAGCCTGAATCCTATTATTCACAATGTATTTACTTACATGATTGGTCTCCTGTATATAACCATTCTCCTCTTGCTACTGTCTACCTCCACCCCATAAGGCTTACCTTCCCCTCACTAGGGCTATGACCCCTTGCCCTGGGCTAGGCCACACCCCATGTGGATGCCATCCTTACCCCACCCATGACAGGCCGCTGCCACCACTAAACCCCCAACATGGACCTCATCCTCCCTCCACCTAATTAGGCCTCAACACACTGTGCCAGGAAGTCCTTCAACATAAACCCCCTGTTTACCACGCCCAGGCTCTGACACTCCGTGATGTGATATTGCTACTATCCACAACTCTCTTCCCAACATCCCACCACCTGTCTTCCCAGCAGATGCCAAGTTTGCTCAGTCTCACCTAATGGCTTTTGGATTAAATTCTTCAGGAAGGGAAAAGAAGAGGAAAAATAAACTGAGTTTTTTAAAGCTCTTAACTATTTATGATTTTAGTGAATTAGGAAATTAAGTATGAGGGGATAAAAGGAGTAATCAGTCTGCTATTTGGAGAAAGTACAGGAACATAAAGGTCCTAGTGAGTAATAACAAAGGACCATCCAGGCCTAATGTCAATGCTGTCAGTGGTGCCAAGGGACCTTCCCAGGGTGAGCGTTAGGGCTTTGTTAACCTGATATCCACAATGGCTCTCTCCACCTGGGCCTGGTGGGCCACAGTCTACTGCTCCTTGCTGAGGCTGGACCTCAGCAGCCTCTCAGGCTTGGGGGATTATCTGTAGACAATTGAGAACGCAATGAGGACATGTGCCTAGGAAGAACACTCTCTCCCAGAAGCTCTGTGAGAGGGATCCTCACAAACATTTTCAGACTCACCACACAGACAAAAGGGAGATCAGGATCTCAACATTCTACTCTGTGTGATTAGGTCAAAACAAGGGCCTCCCCTTTTCAAAGTGAAAGAGTTCTACTAATTTCTCCCACTTAAATCAACATGCAGAAAAGCATAATAAAAGCTGTCCCTACTCATCCTGAGATAAAAGCACTATTAGTATTCTTTCAGACTTTCACACATATGTATACAAACAGGACTATGTGGTGCACGTTCTTGCATAACAGCTTTTCTCTTTCAACAGCAGCCAAGAGCGCCCTGCCATGATATGGCCGCAGAACAGCCAAACCACAACTGACACTTCTAACCAGAAAACTGAGAAACAGTGGGCCTGATATGTGGAGCCTGCTGGCTACCCCCAAACTCATTTTCCCTTATTCCCAGGATGGCAGCATTCTGAGCTGCTGTGTGACTACTAAAGAGCATCTTCTCCAGCCTTGCTGCAGCTAAATTCTGGCCAATACAAGAGCTGAAGTGTACCATATCCAGGTCACATCCTTAACATGCCTTCTTTTTATCCTGTGGGCTGGAAGACAACTATGGCGGTGAGCCATCTCAGACCATGCAGACAGGAGTGATACCCCAAGGACAGCAGAGGAAAGAGAGAGTACCTAGGCCCTGAGGACTTTATAGAACAGAATTTTTATATGAGAAAAAATAATTTTTGTTTCAATCATTGTTAATTTGGATGAATAACTTAGCACAAGTAGCTTAATATACTAATCAAAACAAAGTCTCAAAAAGAGATTCACAATTGTGTAGCTCTGAGCATTAGAGCTTCCCACAGACTCTTAAGAAAACATATACATTCCACAGAGGGGTAGAGAAGCCCTCAGGCTCAGCACTGGGGGAAGGCAATCAGTGCTCACAGGGTACCACAACTTGGAGGCTAGAAGACAGTGCTCTAGCACCCCAAGGCCTGTATCCTCCACCCCTCAGGACTAGCCTGCTGGTGGGAAGCAGGCAGCAGAGGGCAGTCCTTTTCTATGAAAGGTTTGTGTACTCCAGTGTGATGCTGCTCCTCTCTA